GTGTGGTCGCGGCCTATGCCATTCTATAAAGGGGCATCCCTTCCTTTCACGTGGGTGTCGTAAGAGACGACTAAGGGAACTTTATGGACGAGAGATTGGCAGCAGCGCCCCTTTTAAAACTTCACCAAAATTTTACTGTGATTGCCAATCCGCTTGCCAATTGTGGCAACTATAGTAGACAATTAACGGCTGATATTTTGTTGATGATGATTATTTATATTTTTTTGCACATTTAACACTATTAATTTTATTAAGCATGGATCACTATTTAAAATTAATAATCAATTAATAAATGTTAATTAATCACATACATTAATTAATTTGTATTAATTATTTTATGTAATTTTAATATAGTTATTAATTTATAATAAGTTTAACAGTAAAGATTGTTTATCTATCTATCTATCTATTAGTGCAAGATCACTATTTTTTTTAATAAAACTAGTATATAGCCTATGTTACTTGCTGATAATGCAGCTTTCTATAGCTAAAAGTATTTTTTAAATTAATAGATAGATATTCGTTATTGTTTCTCTAAAAGATTACATTAGTAGACTTATTAAAAAAAAACATATAATAATACAAACAATTACAAGAAAAGATTACACTGAGAAAACAATCACTAATAGCAATCTCTTTCAGGCAACTTTGGTTGATACTCGTAGGTTGAGTAGTTTTTGAGTTTACCCATTACAAACAAACAAACATACAAAAAAGCAAATTTTCCTCTTTATATATATATGAAAAAAATGTTTAGAATACCATGAAGAATAAAATGTAGTACTAGACAGATTTTGGGTTTAATATACTCTGGAGCTAATGAAATGGAAACATGCAGATTCACAAAGACGCCCTAACTTTGTGTGCCGACTTTTTGCCTTTATAAGCGGAAAGCGCCTTGGAGTCCACCTAGATATTGGCTTAGTGCTACTACATTAATTTGATGTCAAAAAATTCAGACAATTTAAACTATTGATACTCAAAGTGCTCTATGCGGACCATCAGGGCTTAAAAACATAAAAAAAAAATACAACCGGATCGAGAACGTCCATTTTTTAAGTCGGTTGAAAATACAACTGCTTCTTTCTTAACTATCATGATAATTTATTTATAACGACCACAACGACGACGACAAAGAATTAACATTGATTTTATAAAATATTTGGGCAAATATTCTATTGTAGCCAAATTCAAGGATTCATCATCATCATCATTTCAGGCATTATATAGGCCTCCCTCATAGACTACCATAAGGATCGGTCCTGAGCCGCGAGCCTAATTCAGAAATTAATTTTGTTTATTTCCGCTACCATTAGTATTTGTGTAACACATACTAACGGTAGTGGAAATAAACAAAATAATTCTAATTGACTAACCAATGTTATGGTCTTCTACAAAATAACACCTAGTTCACTAAAACATAGGACATTTAATAACCTAAAATCAACAATACTAAAATAAATAGATTTAACATGAGAAAGCACTCTTTGTATTTTCATAGACCAGTACTTTACCATAAATACCAGGACTTTTTACCCTAAAATCGAGTATACCCGATTACGCGCAACCTTTCTCCAACACCGCAACGAAATAACGTTATTTTTGATGTACATCCAGTTATAAGTTCACTACAGTATAAAACCCTTCCGTATACAGTTGCACGATACCTGATACCAGCACACAGTGGCTGTCAAAACCCGATCAGCAGCGTACAGTTGACCGCACAACGCAGTTCCCATTACTGGTAAAAAAGAATCCAACATTTGAGCGACACGTGTTATATTTATTCGTGATGATTGGCCGATAACAAAGTCTAATAATAGCTGGGTCGTATTAAGTTTAAAAAGTTTTTTTTATAACCACCAAAGACTTGATGTTGATCTAAGCGTTTGTAGTTTATAAACAAGACTGAAAAGAGCAAGCGCTAGACTGACATGTTATTATTATATATTTGTAATAATACATATGCCATATAGTCCCGGCATAGAATAGGCCATCCCCTCCTTTCTCGTGTCGTAAGAGGCGACTAAGGGAACTTAATGATCAAAAGAAGGGCAGCAGCGTCCTTCTTAAGACATCACCAAAGACTAACTGCGATTGTCGACCTGCTTGACAAGCGTGATAATTATTGGCAAAACTTCCTTTATGGAGAAGGCCTATGTTCAGCAGTGGACAGTTAAAGGCTGATATGATGATGATTCATAAGATTTGTTTTCACTTGTTAAACTTGTACTCTTTTTTTTTTATACAACTTAGAATGGCAAACAAGCTGACGGCCCACCTGATGGAAAGTGGTAACCGTCGACTATAGACATGAGCAGTACCATGGACATAACAGAGTATAATGTTTCGCCCATGATACCCCCCATGCGTTGCCATTCCTGAGGACTCAGGTGTTATTCCTCTGTACCTAGTAAATTCACGCCATATCCCACCCTTCAAACCGAAATACGAACACAGCCATGCAAACACAACTGCTTCACGGTAAAAACACGAATGGGACAGAGATACCTAAGCAATCGACTTTTGTACAAACCCTCCCTGACCTTCCTAGTATTGGCGTATTTAAGATTATTTTCCAGGGGGGACCTAGCTCCTTAAAAAAGACTTTTATGTACTCTCTGACATGACTTTACGAAGCTTTCTTCAGGATGCATGCACAAGAGTGGGCATTAGACAACTCTGAGTTGGGCACGTCCCAGCCGTCGCCCTTTCTATATACCCTTATGTTTCTTATGCGCACACAAAAGCACTGTTTGGAGAAACTCTACATATTAAGATAAGTAGAGGATAAATGGAACTAGAGGCAGGGACGTTCTTGACATTTTTTAAATTATTATTTTGTACTCGCATTGTACACAGTTATTTTAATTAAATAAATAAAATATTTTTTTTATACCACTGAGGTGGCAAACAAATATACGGCCCACCTGATGGTAAGTTGTTACCGTAGCCTATGAACGCCTGCAATACCAGAGATATTACGCGCGCGTCGCCGACCCTGAAGAAACCTCTTTAGCCCCCTTTTGAAGAATCCCATGCTGTAGTCTCTTGGGAAAACCTCGGCAGGGAGCAATACAATTTACAATAATAGAAAGTAGATGAGTTCTCAATATTATTATTTTGATAAATTTTCCATTCGTAAAAGCAAAGTATCTGCGTTAATCCATTACTTACTGTTTGAAAAATGACAATATTTATACATCAGTCGAGAGCAAATGAAATGATAATAAATTCTACAGACATTTGCTTTTTTAAACGAGCCTGGAAATTATTTTCCCGCCTTAACAATATCGTGGAAGTGAAATCATTAGAAACTATTAATATATTAGATGGGTAATATTTACAATTACAATATAGTATCTTTGGGGGGGGGAGGAAAGGGACTGTTAGTGATGGAGACTGAGAATCCCATTGCTAGCAATATACCCAACCAGGTCGACTTCCTCGCAGTTCCCGCTGAAAACTATCATGATTAATTCCTGATGAATTCATCATGATGGGCTAACTGGCCTGTTTTCATTCTCATCTATCACCCTTCACTGGTGCTCCGCCAGTCTATCCCGTTAGCGCAGGCGGGGTGGGGTTACCTTACCATTTTCACCCATAAAAAAAATAGTATCTATATATTATGTTAAATATGTCAAATATCAATTATCCAATATATAATATCGAAATAAAACACTTGATCGAAATTAATTTAAATATCTAACTAGTACCATTATCACATCAGCCAATGGCTATCCATTGCTAAACATAGGCCTCCCCCATAAGAGGCAATAGTTCCCACGCTTCAAAGGCAGGTTGATAATCGCTGTTAGGCTCTGATGATGTTTTAAAATAGACGTTGCTGTCCATTTCTCGTCCATTAAGTTCCTTTAGTCGCCTCTTACGACACGCACGCGAAAGGAAGGGATGGCCTATTCTATGCCAGGACCACGCGACGAATTTGTATAGGTGATATCGAATTGGGTAATAATGTTTACATATATATAAACAATATTCTTTATAAGCGTATTTACTTATAACAATACATTGTATAATACAAATACCATTTGGGTATCCAAAGGGGTTTTACATAGATGATTTATCTGCCTATATTTTACTCACAGGGTATGGTCTGACCATCGAATCCTATATTTTTATTTTAAGTACACTTTCATGACGATGCTTCTTGACTAAAAATATTTTTCGAGAATAAAAACAGGTTTATTCAAATAAAGCCTCATTCCATAAAAGTTTCAGTGAAATAATACTGGCAACTAGAATTAGTATTGTTCATTTTAGTACTTTTTTTTATACAACTTAGAATGGCAAACAAGCTGACGGCCCACCTGATGGAAAGTGGTAACCGTCGCCTATAGACATGAGCAGTACCATGGGCATAACAGAGTACACTGTTTCGCCTATGATACCCCCCCATGCGTTGCCATTCCTGAGGACTCAAGTGTTACTCCTCTGTACCCAGTAAATTCACGCCATATCCCACCCTTCAAATCGACTTACTACGAATAGGTGTAAATAAATACCACAAACAATTGAAAAGGACTGTTACCCACTAGTAGAGCTTCTAGTTAACATGAAATATACAAGCTAATACTAATCCAGTAACAAATAATGCATTTTTGGTTGATTGATTGCATCTATGCATACAGAAAGTACAAATAAAAGCAGAGTTTAAAACAGTATACCAAGATATACCAGTATCGATATTTCATCAAAATAAATTACATTCACCATTCGCATATGGAGCCAACAGTTTATTCGTTTCATAAAGTTTCATAAAAGGCGCTTGGCACGCCACCTCGTAAACACGCTACAAGTTCGAACTATTTACATATCACACTCTGATTTACTTAGCCATCTGCTGTCACGATGTAGAATGTGTCTAAACTTTTTATAGGTGTACGTACAGTACATACATATATCTCCTTCAAGACATCTCCATTTAACAGTTTATTATAAACAAATATATTAACATTTTTTTATATTATTTTCAGATACGACAGCGCCGTATGTGCTATACAAAGATGGTGTCGAGCGCGCTCCGCCTGGTACTCAATGGGGTGGAGGCGTGCTGGACGGGGGATACCAACCCATGCAGCATCAGAGCCCAGGCGGGCCATCACCGCAACCCGAGCCCCAGCTTGCTTCTCCAGCGCCGTCCTCTCCATACCCCCCAGCGCCACCCCCTCCAGACCCAACAGGAGCTGCGGAAGACGCAGCCCAACAACTCGCACAACAACAAGCACAACAACAACCGCAACAACAACAACAGCAGCAGCAACAGCAGCAACAAACATCACCAGAGCACATGCAAGTTGAGCAGCAGCTACAGAGTCAGCCGCAACCACAACCGCCTTCCCAAGATCATTTGGATAGGACGCCATGCTTTGTACCACAACCGGACTTACAGCAACAATACGCAACACCATACTTCAAAGAAACTAGACCGACTAGTCACATGCTTGGGACTGGTGGTTTCCCGTTACATTACTTAAAACAGAACGGCGTCCTATCACTGGAAGGCCCAATTGATCAGTATGGAGCTCCTGAACTCCGTCACTTACCGGACATTGTCCAGCCTGAGCCCCCGAAACCACGAAAACATAATCCGAACTCAGAGTTGCGGCTTTTCAAATGCTTGACTTGTGGCAAAGACTTCAAACAGAAATCCACATTACTGCAGCATGAACGGATCCACACGGATTCCAGACCATACGGGTGTCCAGAATGCGGCAAGCGGTTTCGCCAGCAGTCACACCTGACGCAACATCTCCGCATCCACGCGAACGAGAAGCCATACGCGTGCGTCTACTGCCCGCGTTCGTTCCGGCAGCGAGCCATCCTCAACCAGCACCTACGCATCCATTCCGGTGAGAAGCCATATACGTGCGGCGAGTGCGGCAAACATTTCCGCCAGAAGGCCATCCTGAACCAGCACGTCCGCACACACCAAGGCGAGCGCTATTCACACATATATACCTATCCCCGATCCCCGCGCGCGCCGCCCGCACTGACAACCTCGGTCACTGCCGACGTCGCTTGCGATTCCCGCCGCTCCCTACACGTTCGATTCGGTCTCGCATCCATTGGCCTTCCTTTCAAACAAATTCTCGGTCCCCTCGTCGCCTGTAAAACAGAGGGCGCTCGCGAGACGCGGAACCGATCGCCGGACGCTCCCGTAACCGTCCTCAGTTTGATTAACCCACTCGTCGGTATTCCTGAATCGGATGACCAAAATATGTGATTGACCAATCTATTCCGTTTTTGCAGACGTTTCACCGCATCTGATATTCAAGAACGGGACAACGCCTACCCTGTGGCCCCAGGACGTGCCATTTCCGGCTGACGAAAACAAAGAGGAGGTGCAGTCAACGTACGGTGACACGGATGGACAGAACGGAGACCAACGTGGATCGTGTTTCTCGCCCGGCGACACAGCCCAATATCCTGCTTACTTCAAAGACACTAAAGGTCTCAATCATACTGTCTTTGGCTCTGGTCTCTCTTTACAGTACTTAAAAGGTGGTAAACTGCCTGATGTACTCGGTGGTCGCGCGATGCCTTTATACGTCCGTTGCCCTATTTGCCAAAAAGAATTTAAACAAAAGTCAACGCTTCTTCAACATGGTTGCATTCATATAGAATCCCGGCCTTATCCTTGTCCAGAGTGCGGCAAGCGTTTTCGACAACAATCCCATCTAACGCAACATCTACGCATTCATACGAATGAAAAGCCATACGGTTGCGTTTACTGTCCCCGATTTTTCCGACAACGGACTATCCTTAATCAGCATCTTCGTATTCATACTGGTGAGAAACCTTACAAATGCACGCAATGCGGCAAAGATTTTAGGCAGAAAGCGATCTTAGATCAACACACACGGACACATCAAGGTGACCGGCCTTTCTGCTGTCCGATGTCAAATTGCCGGCGGCGGTTCGCAACCGAACCTGAGGTTAAGAAGCACATCGACAACCATATGAATCCGCACGCAGCTAAAGCAAGACGAGCTGATGCCGCGAAAACGCCTCGGCCCCTACCCCCAGCGGCGGCAGTAGTGAAGCCAGAGCTCTACTTTCCACAGTGCTACGCGCCTTTTCAGCAATTCCCGGCGACAAGTGGTCCGACAGAGTTCAAACCAGCGGTGGGGCCAGGCGCGCCGGTGCCGTGCCTGCCGGCTCAGTGACCCGCGCCTCCGCCTCGATGGCACCCCGCGCCCACACACGCGCCGTCACACCACGACTTGTACGTTGCCGACCGACTGTACAATTAAATTCTTCGGTCCACCTTTTATCCTGTCGAGACGATAGGGTATCGAAGGGTGCCCTGTATTAGAAGTACAGTCCGGCCTTAAACCAGTATACGACTCGCATTGCGAGCTTTGTAATGCAAATTATTGTTCGGATCGCTGTAAAACAAGCTTCGATCTGTAAATAACGACATTGTTTATACTCTACCGAAAGTCTGTCGCGAATGTACAGTTTAAAAGTTCATCATTAATAGTGTTACCGTTGAAGAGCGAATTCAGATAGCGTTTTTTGCCCCGTAATATTAAGTTACCACGTAAGAGTTAGGTTTCTCGGTGATTCTTCTTGACACGAGTACGGTCGAAATCATTAAAATGTAAGCAGATCGAACCAGAGATTAGAATTTAAAGCTCTACGTTGAAAACTAAAAGTAAGAATTGATCTTTTACCATAATTGCAATATTTCGCGATGAATGTTTCCGGTACAGTGTTGTGCCTATTTGTAATAAATATACATATTTTGTAGATATATTATATTAAGTTAATTTTATTTACGAGTGTTAAGGGATATAATCTGGCAGATGGGGGGAGATTAGATGAATTCATGATGCTCAAAATATCTTTAAAGTAATATGGTAATGTAAGAATTTACACGGTAACTTTAGGTCCAAATTTAGAGAAATTTTCGGAGAGTAATACATCAGAGAACAGAAGCAAGAAAGCAAACCAAAAACGTAGGTTACCTTTTGCCATCTAAATACATATTTTTTTTAGTACTTAACAAGGTGTTCCGTTACATGAACGCATTTACGTGAACTATAATAATAATCGAGATACCGAGATGTCTCTGTAACACTATAGGTGCCAAATAGTGTAGTGATTTTTAAATTTTTTCTACCATTTTCTATTATAGTTGGCCTAGTTTAGGTTGTTACCAGTTTTATCAACGATTACGTGACAATTTGAGATGCATTTAAAAGGAAAGGGTCAGACTGAGAAAGGACTGTGATAGCTAGGTAGGTTAGATGTCTATTTCGCTCACTTAGCGTTAAACTTCGTATGTTGTGACGAAACGTGATTGAGAATCCTTTTGGAGGAGTGATTGAATAAAAAATTATTCGAATTTTCTTTTGAAACGAAATTTGCTTTTGTGACTATATAAAACTCGAAATTGCCAAACAGCTACGTAAAAATTACGTTTTATGTTCCTAAAATATCGAAATTTCGCATTTATTTTAAATACCGACTCTTTTGTGTCGGTTCATTGCTTTCTCTTTATTGACTGATTCGATGAAGTAATGTTTGAAGAGTGAGAGTAGTGAATTATACCTTAATATAAATGTAACGCGTGTGATGTCGCCAAGTGCTTTGCCGTAGTTTGATCCAGGAAAGGAGGATATGCCAGAATAATATTGTTTCTAATTTTAGCTTAGATTTATCGACTCTCGAATTACAAAGCAATTCGATCATTCATCGCGAAATACATTTAGACGTTAGGGAAATTAAAGATATTATATGAATTTTGTAGCGTTGTTGAAATACTCTGACTCTGAGTTGTGCGTCCTGGATTATTTCGCGTCCACACGATAAGTATCTAATACAGTGCATAATGTAGACATAGAAACTATATGGAATTATTTTAAACACGTCGAAACTTATATAGTGTAAGCGTAAACAGAGACGGATGTATCAAATATATCGTTTCTGGTACAATTTGATTTAAATAACGCAATACAATGGAGTCGAGCAGACTATAAACTGTGAAACAGTGTCAGAATATTTCATCAGGCTTTTTAACGTTTTTATCATCTCTGTTTGTATCTATAGACGACATATATATAGCTTATTTTACGATATTGTGATGGTTTCGTTTTCCTACCGCATAATAAGAACTGTTATGTATTAAAACTGATAGATGTAATAATATTTGAATTTGTGGGAGTCACATAATACATTGGGTACCATTAATTTATCACTTCTGGAAGTGAATAATGCAATATTAAGTTTAGTGGATTTTGTGTGTTATTTTTATGACGAATTATGCATTGGACTGTTACGAAAATTATAAACGAGCCAGTTTCGCCCGGCAGCCAGTTGGCTACTGGTGAAACTGGCCGCTTCACCGCGGCGTCGCGTTCGGGCGCAGTTTTGTTTACCGGTTGCTTTTCCTATCAAACTTTTGGAGGTTTACAAATGAAAAACACCATTATCGAGGAGTATTAGCCAGTTATCTTCAGTGACTAAAGTGTTCCACAATGTTCACAACGTGTGATCCTCCGAGGTGCGCGCGCCGCCCCCGCCCCCAGCCACAAGCAGTAACGATAAGTTTCCGTTTCTACTATAGTTTATACACACAATACATACAGACAGCCTTAAACAATAATAGCTAATAAGTATTTTTATACAGTACATGAGATATAGATATATTATTTATTCGAGAGGGACGGGCGCGGCGCGGCGTGCTCTAGTACAAAGTTTGAATACAAACATAGCACAGTGCCATAGCCATGAAATAACCTCAGATTTATACTTATTAGATTTTTATACCGATACAAATGGATTTAATTTTTAAATATAAACAAAGGTGATTAAGTATACAGAGATTACAGATGATATTTTATACATTTATTACAAACAATATTATTAAAAACGTATAATTGTGAAATAGTCTTAACGTTAGTATCGTACCTATTGCAGTTGCAACGTGCTAAGTACCTAAGTATATTGAAAAACAGATTTTCTATAAGTTTTAAGTTGTGGGAAATTGATATATTTACCTAAATCAATTTTGCATAACTTATGTGTCAAATCAAAATAGATAAGTTATAGCATTTCAGGTCTGCGCCATGTTGCAAAGCACATATAAATGATCAATTTTCTTTGCCCAAAAAAAGATATTGAACGACAACTGAACAGGTCATGCTATATATACGTAACATTTTGCACCATGGTTATTTTCTAACGTGGTTATTGTAAATACATATCATTGGGAATGTTTTCAGACTGTGTTACAATAAATTATTTTGATTGAATGAAAAACATGCGGGAAAAAATACATATATGTATGGCAGTATGAATCTCATTTCCAGATCTTTAGATGTATCACGTTAATTTCTAAAAACAATTTTAAAAAAAAACTCCTCGCCCACGCTGTTCTGTTCAAATTGCTCATTTTGTTAAGTTTTGCTCAAATATTTGTGTATGTATCTATTACATTCATTATAGTTACACTATTAGCATACTTTATGTACGAGAGGTTATTGTAAAATACTTATTTGAGAGCACGGTTTTGCTTTTCTTATGCAACTATTTGTTAAGTAAATATACCCCAGTCTTGTTCTATACCAATTAAGTATGATATTGGACATATCTTGTGGCCCCTGCGGATTGGATGAGCGTAGTCTTCACTCTATTAATCATTCTGAGCGTACCGTCCAATTCTGAATCATTCTGAACGTTCGTCTATCATCAATTATGATTTTCTTTACGTCAAGAGTTTCCTTTAAATACATTAAGTTTTTAACATGTTCCTAGCCTTTAAAATTTGTAATCTATTATAGTTTTATATTTTTGAATTCATGTATTAGTTTTTCTGTTTTATTCTATAGTGTAAGAGGCAGATGTGAAATAAATATGTCTATGGTACACTCGATTTATGTCACAATTTATAAATTTAGAACAAATTTTCATATACGAATGTGTATTTATTTTAAATATTTCTAATGTCACTCATCAGACAAATGATAGCATTTTCATAATTTGAACATTGTTCTGCAGATACAATGTAGGCAACATTGAAATTTAATGAAAATCTAAAGAAAACTTTATTGAAAGAACATAGGCAACATTTTAAAAAATACTATTCTTTGTCGATGCCTCCAGGTCTGCCTCTTTATTACGAGTCATATTTTCTTGTAATAATTATAGATGAAATGAGATGATTGATATTTGTTATATCAACAGAGACGCATTATTAATATGCCTACAAGCAAAGTATAATTATATTTCATCATAATATATCCGAGTGCTACCCTTTATAGCTGTTTACCTACTTATTTTTATATGCAGTAAGTGTTTATGTTGTTAAGGATATAAAAGGAGAGAATAAGATTGCATCGTGGAAGTATACTTTGCATATAACGTAATAATAATTACTGATTACATGTAATTGAATGTCAATTGTATTAAATACAATATACCTAGCCGGGCAGTGAGAGTTTAACTGCACCACTGTCCGGATCGGTGGCGAAACGTCTTAGAAATAGTCGGTTAATTTAAATAAAACGTCGTTCGTTCACTTCGTTCATTCGTTCAGTAATTTTTTGAATAATGCATTTATTGTGATCTCAACAGTATAAAATTTAGATACAATAAGGTAATAATTGATGATCGCTTAAAATTTACATACATTATTATGTGTCTTCCTACCATGAAAATAGATTCGAAATTTCGGAGCCGAAATAATAATAATATTAATATCGCTATAAATGCGACCAAAATGGATAATTTCGCTCGCTCGTATTGTCTGTGGCTGATACTTATTGTTACATGTTTATGACAAACGAAACGTCAATCTGTTTACAATTCTAATTTCGATATGAACATGCTTCATCGTACTCACAAAATTTAGGCTCGAAACTTCGGAAGTACGTTTCATGGTAGACCCCCTGGCGTTTCAATTTTCATTTTTCGCATTTCCATCTTCAATATCAAGGAAACTGTAAATAAATTCTTGATTTGACTTTTACGTGAAATCATTTCAGATAATTCAAAATGTGTCGATTCACCGTTACATTGGAATATAAATCGTTTGTTCTAAATATATATATTTCCTTCATGATCGCATTGTAAAACAATAAAAGCAATTTTCTTTTCAATATACTCGTATATAAAAAGGATCCTTGATTAAAGGGTTTGTAGTATAAAAATTTAGTTGATAGAACGTTGGCTACGAATTATTTAAACGTCTTCCATGTTTCGTATAGTTTTAGTGTTACGACGTTCTATAATTTGAGCTTATTGTTTACTTTTCGCCGTTGATATTGTCATATGCCCTTTATTTGTACAGTTCATGTGATTTTATGTGGAAAAAACATACTATGGTCGCTAGAGCGACGTCAGTGCAATACACTTGAGTTTCGGCGGAATGTTCTAATAATTTATTATTATTATTTTTATTTAATCAATATAGTTGTTAATGTAGATATCAAAAAATAATTGGTAGCCAACACAAAATGGCCTATGTGTTTTTTTTTTCTAATTAGATACAACATTGTGTACTACACTGCCACTCGCCGACCGCTGTCAGTAACATTTAATGTTTAAAATAATTAATTTTTTATTACAATAGAGACTTGTTGAATACAGTTCCACAATAAAATAAGTGTTGTTGAATTTTTTATAAAAGATAAATACATATTAGATTAACGATCTTGTAGTCTGGATTGAGTTTTTTGCAGATTTTATTGGGTGAAACGTTTTTAAGTCGATAGTGACGCGTCGCCTGTTTAGCTTATTTTTGCTATAATACTTATTTGAAGCAATACAATAAACAAATCTACATATACCAGATAGTACAATAGATATACAGATTATACAATATATACAATAGGTTAAACAATAAAGCGGTGATATTATATTATACACGATTCACTTTTCTTTATAAAGAAGCGTGACAGGCGGCGCGCCTAACGACATTTTGCTTTCATTAGAATGGGTGCTGTTATATTATTAATTGTACATATTTATTGTAATATACAACAATAGACTGGATTTACAATGTTGTTAGGTTTCTACAGAGTTATCACCTGGAGCTATTGAGAACTTAATATATCCATATTTGTTTTCTGTACTAAATATAGATAATCTTTTGTCTAGACTAATGGTTCTCTTTTTTTATATAAAAAAATATTGTAGAAAATTTAAATACAACAAATGATCGCCATCAGCGAAATGAAATACCACACACGAAGGAATGAGTATAAAGTAAAGAAAAATAGTGTTACAGTACTGACTGACTATTACATTTTAACATTCATCTGTTATTTAAATTCAAAATTTAATTACCTGACTTCAAGGTAATTAATTAATAGTGTGCTTTAGAAAGTAACGCCATCTAATATCAATGTGCGAACTAAAACAAAATTAACAATACTTGATCTTTATATATATATATATATATATATATATACACGAATATGTATATGAGTAGATAATATCTAAGATTAATACATTGAATATTTCACCTTAATTTACGCGGAAAGACCCGCAAAATACAGCTAGTAGTAAAAAATTATATTTTCCTTTCAGATTAAAAAAGTCATATTGTTTTACAATAGCCTTCTATGATTTAAGTAGAGGCTCAGATTATTTCGTCTTCGCGAAAGGCCCAAATGATCTCACTAGCTCCAGTCCTCATGTTACAATAGAGTGTATTTTCTTACGGACCTACAATGAAGAGATTACCTATATAAATTCATTTTAGACAATCCCAGAATACAAGATCTAACTTTTTACACACAACATTTGCCGTTGAGAACAGATTTGCTTTTTTCCATTTTTAATTTTCACGATAAAAAAAAAGAAACAGTTGGTTGCGATATGGTCACAGTAATTCAGGCGACAAATTAAAATGTTGGCATTATAAAAAATTGTAAATATATTTTCTAGTTCTTCCAAAATGAATAATATCAGTATTAAATACAAAATTCGACTTTGGTTAGGTCAAAAGTGTACGTGTGATCTATAGAGAATTTTTGCATTAAACTTTCTTGGTGTAATTTTAAAGTTTGAATATTTTTTAATTATATTATTATTTTTTGTCTTTATTAAGCTATTATATTTTAATTGTCTTATAACGATCTTGCCTAGACTTGCATTTATGTTAGTTACGTTACGTATAATACGTTTGAAGTTGATACCATCGTATTTATGTATATTATATTGTATTAAGGGTTTTGTTTGTTTTTTTTTTTTGTCATTAATAGAAGTAAAATGTTGTAAAAAGTAAGCTCGTTGTATTTTATCAAATAAACACTTTTTAGTCCAACTGAAGCAATACAATGCAGTTTTATTTTTATATACCCGTTAATGGAGCATATTTTTCACGACTTGAAATGAAAATAACCTAACGGCCCGAATGATGGAAAATGGTAACCGTCGACTATATACATGAATAGTACCATTTAACAGTAACATCACGGAATATACTGTGACTTCCTGTAACCATGGCACCACGCGTTCAATTGTCATTCCCATAATGCGTGATGTGTTTTGCCTACCTCTTCATCCCATACAAAGTAATTATATTCTTTTATATTTTTTTTAATGATACAACAAGCTGACGGCCCCACTGATGGGAAGTGGTAACAGTCATCTATAGACATGAGTAATACAGCAGAAATATATTTGCTCGAAGTTGTCGACGAGTACGTATACCGTGGACAAGTTCCGAGAGGTCAACCGACGAATTCAACTCGACTGGGCAGCATTCGGAAAACTACGAAATATCTTTAACCAGTGCGTGTTGCCAGTGATGACTTATGGAACTGAAACATGGTCCTACACGATTGCCCGTATGCAAAAGCTTCAAATTACTCAGTGGGCTATGGAGAGTGCTATGCTCGGATTTTCTTTGCATGATAAAATCCGAAGCGAGGATATCCGCAAAAGAACCAAAGTAACCGACATAGCCCGAAGGATAAGCAAGCTGAAGTGGCAATGGGTTGGTCAAATTGCTCAAAAAACCAACAACTGATGGGAAAAAAGGCTCTTGAGTGGCAAACCCGTACGAGCAACCGCAGTGTAGGACGACCCCCCACTAGATGGAGTGACGACCTCAAATACATTGCAGAGAGTCAATGGATGCAGGTGGCTCAGGACTGTTCCTTATGGCAGTCTATGGAGGAGGCCTATGTCCAATAGTGGACGGATAATGGCGGAAATGATGAATGATGAGGAGTATATTTTATCAAACCGAGATCAGATCATATCCTTTGGATGAAAATGTATAGTGACGCATCATATTCTATTCCCGTCACTTACGTACCGTTACATACTAACGGCCCGTCCCGACGTCGCACGGGTGGACATTTTTACATTTTAAAAAGTGCCCATTAAGGCTGCACGCGCGACGGAAGCTTAAAAATGGAGTAACTTCTCCCGTTTTCCCAACATTGCTCTTCACTGCTCTGCTCCTATTGATCGTAGCGTGATGAAAAGTATACTATAACCTACCAAGGAGTATGAAGAATAATTGTACCAAGTTTCGTTAAAATCCGTCGAGTAGTATTTGTTTCTATAACGAACATAGAGACAGACAGACAGACAGACAAAAATTTTACTAATTGCATTTTTGGTATCAGTATCGATCACTAATCACCCCCTGATAGTTATTTTGGAAATTTATTCCATGTACAGAATTGACCTCTCTACAGATTTATTATAAGTATAGATATACCCTTAAACAGGACATTGTATAAAAAACACGTCCAAATTCAATCTAATGACACAGAATTTTTTACTACGTAAATATAGACGGAGAAAGAATATAACGATTGTGGTCGCCGCCGTGTCCTGCCCCGGCATAGAATAGGCCACACCTTTCTTTACAGTGGATGTCGTAAGAAGCGACTATGGTAAGCTAACGGTCGAGGGATGGGCAGCAGCGTCCCTCTTAAAACATCACTAAAGCCTAACTGCGGTTAGCAGGGGGGAAAAGGATTGTTAGTAATGGAGATTAAAAATCCCATTGCTAGCAATATACCCAACCCGGTCGACCACTTCGTGGTTCCCCCTAAAAACTATCATGGTTAATTCCTGATAAATTCATCATGATAGGCTAACTGGCCGGTTTTTATTCTCATCGATCACCCTTCACTAGTGCTCCGCCAGCGTATCCTGTTAACGCAGGCGAGGTTACCATTCCATTTTCACCCATCAAAAATAAACTGTGGTTAGCAACCCGCCTGTCAAGCGTCGCAATTACTGGCAAAACCCCCCTTATGGAAGAGGCCTTTGTTCAACAGCGGATAGTTAACAGCCGATATGATTAATAATATAATAATTACCAGAGGGAAACTTTCTACAAAAGTGGTTTGCTTGAACACCTCTGTCCAATTCATGTTTCTATCGTGAAGCATTGTTTGCATGGCTGTTTCGATTCCAAGGGCGGGATATGGCAGTGAATTTACAGGGTACAGAAGATTAACACCTGAGTCTTCAGGAACGCATGGGGGGTATAATGGGCGAAACAGTATACTCTATTATGTCCATGAGCAGTACGCTCATGTCTATAGTAAAATTACCACTTTCCATCAGCTGGGCCGTCAGCTATTTTTACCATTCTAAGTTGCATAAAAAAAAACACCAGTGGAAAACTAGCGAGCGGGTGAAGGGATTGTTAGTAATGCAGACTACCATTCCCATTGCTGGCAATATACCCCATCAGGTCGACCTCCACATGATCGCCTCTGGAAACCATAATGCTGAATTCCTGGTGTATCCATCACGATGGACTAACTGATCTGCTTTTTGATCTTACCTAACATCCTTTACTGGTGCCCTGCCAGCGTATACCGTTAACGCAGGTAGGTTTACCATTCCATTGTCATCCATGAAAAGAAAAAACTAGTGGGTTTTATATAAAAAATGATAGCTTTTACCGCGACTTCAACAAGACATGTTTACTAACCGGGATAAAAAGTAGCTTATATCCTTTCCGATCCCATATAGTACATATATGTCAAATTTCATAGTGGTTGGTTAAGCCATTTAGGCTCTATAACTTAACAAATAAGGATATTTTAAGGAATCCAAATAAAATAGCTCATAATTTTATTAACTTATTTAATTTGTAAATATATCGACATAAATCCGTATGATATCACAATATACACATAAGTGCCTGCACAGACGAGGGGCAGTTCTCAAGGTATTTTCACTCGCTGTCCACCTTCGTGCCATATAAACGAGAATCTTTTGTTCTCCTGTATGTACGATTCTATATTAGTATTGTTAAGAAAACAATAATACTTTACTGCGCTAGATGTTATCTTGTCATTGGTTATTTGATTAAAATTGTTTTATTTCCGCTACCATTAATATGTTTGTGACTACCAACACTCGACGATCGACCACCACTATTAGTACCAGAAATTCCACAACCTTCCATACTAGCCATCAATCTCCTACTGCGATTTTGATCACGCACGTTTTGCGATACGTGTTTTACCACTAAACGAGACGTTTTCAGGCAAATTACTATCGCTACTCGAAGCCTAGTAGCCGTTAGGCACCTGAACTGCGAATGACTAATTTTCTTTTTTTTTCGAATTATTTGTTGCTGTTGGCTGCAGATGACCTTTACAGCCTCACCGAGCGCGTGTACAGGAGCGAGTGCAGAAGACTGTCCAAGCTCATGAGAGGGGAGCGACCAAAACGTCAACTCTTACTGATGGACTGCGGCGTGCGCCCGAAGACGCCCTTGTGGCTTGGACCGCAACTCAGGCCACCGCACTTGCACCGCACCGTCCCTCGACGGGGGTCGGTAGATCGAAAGGGAGACGCCACCGTTGGCGCTGGGAGACGATAGGGACGAAATGCATTCGGGCAGAAAACTGACTGCTCGCGACGACGTAGGCGAAATGCGTTCGGGCAGATACCTAACCGTACGCGAACGTGAATCGGGTAAGGTCTTCGTCGTTGCTGGCAAGGACGGTGTGTGCGATGTGTAAGGAGTCTTCGCAGAGGGACGGGACGAGTGTATCGCGGAAGTAGTTGGGAGAGATTTGTCGGGTGCAATACAAATTTATAAAAAAAGATAAAAAGATTATCTAAACAACCAACCAACTTCCGTTAGATCGCATTCAAAGTCGGGCAGCTCGACTTGTTGACGATCGGCACCTTACTATCCGACTAGACCCACTGACACTGCATAGAGATGTTGCATCTCTGTGCATCTTCTACCGAATTTATCATCCTTCAAGAAAAGAGCACATTCCTTTTCCTAAAAGGCCGGCAGCACACCTGCAATGCTGTTGGTGACCATGGGCGACGATAGTCAGTTATCATCAGGTGAGCCGCATGCTCGTTTGCCACCTGTGTTGTAAAAAAAACAACCTACAATTTACAATTAATTACAATAATAAAATTAACAGAACACACGAAAAAAGGTAAACAGTTAATAAATCGGCGATAACTGATACCGTTATAACTACAGTAATAAGGAAAAACTAAAATAACGGCCGATTGGCCTTATTTGCAAATGGCTGCTATCGGGCGTGCCCGGCGGGTAGTGCATAAGGTATCCCCCCCAACCTATGGGTAGGAGGATGTATGCCTACTACTCGTAATCCGCTTAAGGCGAAAATGTGTGCCTGACTAGCAAAATGCGTTTTTTTCACTAAACTAAATATTTTATATTAGAAATACATATATGTTTTAGTACTGCATTCTGCTGTTTACATCAGGGAATCGGGTGATGTCGTTAGTGTACAGGGTACGGGTCAGACAGCGGTCCATTGATACGGTAGCGATAAGATCGACATGACAAAAAGTTTCGTCTAATGTGCACGAGACTGCCTGCCACTTTCAATTGGTGTAGCTTGTATACCAAGTTATTGTACCATACTTGGTCGAACGCTTTGGCTACGTCGAAACAAAGGATGCCTATGCCACCTTTGGGCCTCCTGATGACGAAGTAGAATGTGGTTCTATGAATGTACTCCGTGATGCGGTACATTTGATGGGCACAAATGTTTAGCCCCGAATCCAAACTGCTCGTCGATTTGGATATTTCTGGACTGGATGGAACCTCTCAGACAGGCGAAGATGAATCGCTCATATAGCTTCCCTATTGCTTTGAGGAGGCTGACACGGTGGTAACTGGCAAGTTGGGATGTTTTTGACAGGTTTAGGTATGCCGATGACCATAAGTTCTTTCCAGCTATATAGGAATATGGGATAGAAGAGCGCCGCGCATTAAAGATGACGCGTCGAGAAGTAGTAAGAGGTGGACGGGCAAACTTTTAACAAGTCTTTTAGAGTTACCGTTAATTTTTTATTAGTAACTTTTTAACCAACGTTTGGACCTCGTCGAGTGTGGCGGTTGGAAGCTTTTCTAGATGGGGTAGACACGATCTGTAGTTCGACTTCGGCGTCTATCCTCTCAACATAACCTGTCTCGGCCGAGAGTATGCTGAGTGGGAGAGCACTACACACACACAGAACACTCTCTCCTCGTCTAAGAAGGTTAGGATGTTGTCCGGTTTGACTAAGGAAAGCACGTCGGTGTCATGTTGGTCGGTCTTGAGAAATTTCGCCACTCGCCAATACGCAGTGTGCGATGGCGTGAACTCTTGGAGTAAATCTACTGCAATCTACTATACTACTAGAACTACTACTACTCCAATAAATCAGTGGGACAAGCGCCCAACTGATCATCACGGAGTTCCGCAACACGGTCCTTAACTTTCCGATCCGATTCGGTTCGGAGGGGTAGCGATCATGAGCTCATATGGCTGCGTTCTTTTCGTTCATTAATTGTTTTAGGTCATCAGGGAGTTACTGTCAGTTTCGTCAGTGATGGCCTTAGGCAGGAGAGATGAGTCAGCTAGAGGGCCGGAGGATGGCCGGAGGGTGGTCAGAGCAGAATTCGACATGGTTTGAAAGAAAAGACTAAAATGCAAAACTATTCATTACTTTTAACTTTACAAAAAAATCCGCTAGACCATATATCTAAACCTCAGCCATAAAGATGGTTACGTTAAAAATAAAAAAAAATAAAACAAATTACAAGATTATGTTTAGATACAGGTTTCGCGTATACATTAGAAATTAGAGTTAAAGTTTACTTTTTATACCATGTTAATTGATGCAGTTGATCAGAAGATATTACGAAATAAGCCGGTTGCATTAATGCGTTGTCGCAGGCGCAGGCCGTGCGAGAATAGTAGGCGGGGGCGGGGTGAGGGGGCGCAGGAGAATCGTGCGTACATCAAATTGCTAAATAGGCCCTTCATTTTAAAATTTTAGAGAATATTAATGCAGTACTTTACACGTCAAAACACCAGCCTTACTAAAATGTGTTCAACAGTTTAAAAGTTACACAAACAAATATTGCACCCGTGCGAAGCCGGGACGAGTAACTAGTAATATTATAATAAAGAGGAAAGATTTGACTGTTTATCTATTATGCATAAACTCAAACATTACTTTAACGATTTTAAACATTCTTTCATTTTTAGAAAGTTACATTATCAGCGAGTAATATAAAATGTATTTCATTAAAAGAGAGAACTGTACGAAACCGGGGCGCGTCGGTAGTTATGAATAAAGTGATTCGTGTTTTTTATAAACTAAATATAAACTCTGACTGATGTACCTCGTCTGAGCAGGCATTTATTATTTACAATTAAATAAATAGCTCTGTTTGTACATAAACACAACGCTTTCTAGTCCCAAACTGTGGGAATACGCGTTTGTTGGTGACGGGCAACTAACGACTCCTTTACTAACTACACCTTTATTAGGTCGGTTTTCACACAATGGTATTCTACAGGCATCAAACTCACAATCATTGGATGGCGAGGAAGTGACACACCACTAAGCCACTATGGGAGAAAGGGATTGTTATATATACCCAACCAGGTCGACCTTCATGCGATCCCTTTTGGAAACTATCATGGTACATTCCTGATGAATTCATCATGATAGGCTAACTGGCCTGTTTTCATTCTCATCCCCGCCAGTGTATACCGTTAGCGCAGGTAGAGTTGCCATTCCACTTTCACCATAAAAAAAACTAAATCACTAAGATTGCCATATCACTGAGACATGTCCCTAATCATTCCGTTTCACTAATTTATTTATACTCTCCTGGTTTTTATATATACACAAATCCATGAATGTGAGCCCTAGAAGTAAACAATGTCCCAACATATCCTTCTTCAAATCATTTTGGGACCTGAACATGTGTTTGATGGGTGGTGAGATGTATACTTTTGAGTTATTTGAAGTTTTCTCATTTATTTCTTGCAATAACATCTCGACAGTCTGGTCAGTTGAGACCTTTTCGTTACCAACTAGTGTTCCATATAGTCTGAAAATTAATATTACATTAAGGAGGTTTACGCTGAAAGTTTTAATAACTTCAGACTTTATCACTGTACACACTTTTAATGTATTAAACAACGACATCTACCAGTAATATAATAAGTAACACCGCTAGGTGGCGTTGTACTACATTGTACCGTACTTGTATTGCATAGTATTATATTATTGGTGATATTAAAAAAAATACTAATATTTATATCAAAAACAAAATAATAAAAAATTTTAAAAACATATAGTAATGTAATTATTAATAAGGATAACTATATTAATTCTTGCTTATTATTTATTTGCATGTATATTTTTTTTATATTTGTACACTGAAAATATTAACTAATTGTTAATATTTTCAGTTCAGTTCAGTCAACACAAAGGTTGGCACACCACCATACGGATGTTTTTATAATAATTATGCACAGAAAATGGACATTTTGACTGCATATAAAATGTCCCTTCTTTGGTTTTCCAGACTTTTAAATCTGATAGAAAAAAAACTTTGGTCTTTTAAATCGATCATTATGAAACAGGTAAAATAACATGCTACAGAGCACGTGGCGTGCCATGCTAGTACACAGTTGGAAGACAATGGGAAATTTTACATACAAAGTGTCCATTTATGTTGGTGGTCATTACCTGTAGGGGAGTGCTGGCCTCAAAAAATACACTTTATGGTTAAAATCCTTGACTAGTTTTGATGCATTTTCGTCAGGGTTTAGTGATCTGGAAAGATATACAATCAATGTTAGAATACTTCCCTCTTTATTTATGAAAAGTGTTTTGTCACTTTCTTCAAATTGAGAATTTAGTGCAAAAGAAAAAGACAAAACATATCAACAGCTAAAATTGTTTATGAGAAGATTGACGTTTTTATGAATAAGAGGGTAAACCTATATTTAAGTGTTTTTATTATATTGTTTGCCTAGTATCCATAATATAAGCCCTGCTTGGTTTAGGCATAGATGGCACTGCGTAATATGACCAGTATATTTATATTATTATATATATATTACATATTCAAACAAGTTAATGTGACAAAAATCTATTTAATGCTATCAAAAAAAATTGTGACAAAATCTGGAATAATGGAGATTTTTGATCCAATCCAGTCCAGTTGTTTATCCTTGTTTATCCTAAACAAAACCCCCAACATTAATATAATTAGATTTATTTTTCGCCTAGTGACTTCCAAAATAAAGAAGTTCCCAATTCAATATTTTTTTATAATTAACTAACGCAATTTCATCTTCACTGATACCTCGCTTAGTGAAAACCAGTAAAACAAGGAGAATTATCATTCCATTTTCATTTATTACTATTTTCACAAATTACTAATATAATCAAATTGTAACTATATGATGTCTGTGCATGAAAGATATTTTAAAAAATGTAAAAGGTCTTAATAAAACCAATAGAAAGAAAAAACAATAATTATTAAATTTTGTCTGTCACTCTGTCTGTCTGTATATCTGTATGTTTGTTCTGGCATCACACAAAAACTAATGCACCAAATTGGATGCAGTTTTCGCAGTCATGTTTCTGAAGATGTAAACTTAAAATCTGGTATATGTTTTATAGTGATATGCACCTAAAAATGGTCTGTTTAATTGTTTTCCCTAGTTCAGAAATCTAAATGCACTAAGTAGCAAGGAGAAAGCTAGCAATAAATAAAATACTATCTTCACCAAGGCCTCGTTTACTTTAAGTTCTATTGTATTCATGTAAACATGAAAGAAAGAAATAATTTAATCGAAGAAGCATGCAACCAACACAGTAGTGCACAAAACAAGAAGAAACAAAACAAAGAAAATGGTATACAAATAGAAAGCAATTAAATTCAGTTTAAAGTCTAAATAAAAAAAAAAAACAATAATTGTAATAAATAAACAAACAGTAGGATAACTCTTGAATCCACTTACGTGTTTATATTGTTGCTTTTAGCGTTAATAAGGGAGACAATCATAGCGACCATCTGGGACTTCTGCAAGTTGACAGCGAGCACTTTAGGGTTGTTGGGGTCGCTACCGGCCGCACGGAGGGTAGTGGGTTCTGCCTTCATCACACATATATCTGCTGTTGGCAACTGCTGTGTTACTTTCCATGCCTACAATTGAAAATTCCAACAGTAAAATGAGATGACTTTACATGCGTAAAGCCTGACATTAATATATTTATTTTAAATTATTAAAGTAACATAAAATAAAAAATATAAATGTGAAAAAGATATCCAATTTCAATATTAGGATATTCTTAATTGAGTGATTATCGACTTCACAGACAAAAGAATTAATTTTCTGAAATTTATTTATAAATACATACAATATTCTAAAATAAATTGTCTGGTTGTCTAGAAGAGATTGCTTAGCAATAAGACCGCCTTTTGTACTACACTATACGTATTGAAAATTGTTTAACAAATCATGTTATGTTGGTGCAATAAAGTGTTAAATAAATAAAATAAATAAATTTAAAACACAATTTCTTGTTTTTTTTCTGCTACAACAATGTCTATTGTTTAAAAATATAACTTCTTAAATTTCAAATTTAATAAACATTCGAATTATTTAAAAACAGATAACTTAGGATAAATTAAAGCTCAAGATTTTTAATAAAGATGGAATATAGCCTATGTGTATATATATAGACTATTTAATATCTTGGTCATACAGACAAAGTTGCAGGTGAAAGCTAGTTTATTATATATTATTGCAAATTAATATTGTTATTAAAAGACATGCTTTTTAGGCAGAAAAACCTGGGATACTGCAACATTTCCATGACCTTTTGTGCATCCTTTTTTAAAGTTTGCTGCTAATTCCTGTCAATGTTAGGAATTTTAAAATTTTTTTATGTAGCAATGTTTTTATCTCTTCAGGATATAGTATATTTTCCAAAATATTGTTTATTTACTAGTGGGCTGCAGCCACAAATTAAGTACTGCGGCATTTCTTTCTCATTGATCTTTTATTGCATATTATTATAATTTATACTTTGTAATTATTATAATTTTTTTTTTACAAATTCTTTGTTAATTTATTAAATTTCATTAAAATTTCAGTTCATCATTGCAATGTGAATATCAAAAATGATGATTATGATGAATATACTCACAACTTACAATATTTAATATGTCTGTAATCTGCATCTTTTTCCCCTCTGGGTAATCAATACTGTGATACTTCCATTCCAAAACTTCATAATTCCTTTTATCTATTAGAGTCCAACACACCGAATTCACAGCTACATATACAGCAAGCACTTGACTACATTCCTGAAATATGTTCACAATATAAATTGTTGTTTTAATAATTTCATCAACTTGTTTGTCATTCTCAGTTGTATAAAAAAAAATATGTGAAAGTTTATATGTATAATAATCTAAGCTTTTAGGGAATGGGAGAAAGGGTTTATTAATAAGCCGATCTGATAGCAATATATGCTATCAGATCAACCATCATGCGGTTCCCCTTGGAAACCATCATGGTTAATAATTGCAGAATTCATCATGATGCTTTCTGGCTGCTTTCAGTCTCACCCATCATCTCTCAATGGTGTCTCTCTAGCTAATACCGAATGCACATACAGGGTTACTATTCCATATTCACCCATTAAAAATACCTTTCAAGGAATATCCAATAAATTATGTGAACGTAAAAAACTGTGGCAAAATTTCTTTCTCATTTATGTGAGGGAGGAGTCTATGAAAATCTTACATTAACTTTTGATAGTCTTCTCATTTCACAAAAAAAAAAAACCTAATAATAGCATAAGAGATGTCAGTATAAAAGAAGTTGTTTAGTGAAAATAGAGACAAAATATATCAAGATATTTTTTCTATTGGAAATCTAGCTTTGATCACATTTTGTATCGTATTTATTAACTAGCTTCTGCCCACAGCTTTCTTTCTTATTGTTCACCCATGCTATATAAAGAATCTATTGACATAAGTGAATCAATCAGCATCCTTTTTTATATAAATATATTATAGAAACAAACAATAAAGAACAGTAATATGTCATTATAAACAAATTAATCTTGATATGCAGCTGCTATTCAACAAAGAGAAGGATACAGACTACTTTTTATCTCTTAAATTAATATATGCCAGTCGAAGGAAGGAAACTACAGGTAAAAACTAGCTATAGACATACCTGACGGATACTATCACTTAAGTGTGGGTGTAGAATTTGACCCTTAATCTTGTGAGACAACTCTGACCTATCTGTGGGCCCATCTAGTATGCTATTAAACAATCTATGAGCAATCCTCTCTGAGAAACCTTCTATCATTTGGGTATCGCTGATACACTTTAGCTGACCATTCTCACTTTTCCATTGTTTCACCTTCTTCAATTTTGCTTTTGCTATGTCATACCTGAAATATAAATTCAATAACTTATTTAAATTGACATAAGTACATACAAATATAATAATTTTAGTGTTAGTGGAAAAAAAACAAGATTGTTAATAATGGGAGGTAACAGCAAATAATTCAAATTCAGCCACATTAACAGCAATCCCACCTGGTGGACCTCCTGGCATACTAACCCTGGTTAATTCTTGTTGAATATGTCATAATGGATCGACTGTCCCCACTTCATCCCCTCTTTTTAACACTCTGGTACTCTTTCAGCGTGTACTGATAATGTAGGTAGGATTATCATTTCATTTTCATTATATTAAAATAAAATGTTAAAGAGTAACAGGAGTATGTCAATAAAAATATTAATTTTATTGTTAATTAAATATAAGTGACGAGCACAGACAATATTCCGATCAAGTTAAAAAAAAATCATGCCGGCGTTACTCACTTAGACAGTTCATCTGCATTGTCATTTATAACCTGCAAGATCTTCGTTTTTTCTTCCACAGTATACTTCTTTTCCAAATCTTGACTGAAGACACATTTTGGCACAATTACAGGATAATACCTGGAATACTGTAATAATTAAATTATCAACGGAATAAAAAAAAAATTAAAAGTTAATATTGTAAAAAAAAAACTAACCAAAACTCTTAATGAAAGCATGGCATAGAAAAACTTAACAGTAACTACTGTGACGATTTGTTTATATTAATAATTTTATACAAAAACCAGATAATTAGTTTGAAGTATAAGTGTAATATTGAAATAAAAATATTTTTGAAAGCAGTGTTTAATGATAATAATTTTGAATAATTGAAACAAGTCAACAGCACTTTGAATTAAAACTATTTGTACCAATCTATGTAACCATCGCTATGCAATATTAAGAATTCTTAAAAGTAAATAGTATTTCATTACAGCAACTAATCTCAAATGCACTGTAACCGATATTTTATGATATATTTTTTTTACACCACTGAGGTGGCAAACAAACATACGGTTCACCTGGTGGTAAATGGTTACCATAGTCTATGAACACCTGCAATATTAAAGGTATTACGCGCGCTTTGCCGACCCTGAAGAAACCTCTTTACCCTCCTTTTGAAGAATCCCATGCTGTAGTCTCTTGGGAAAACCTCGGCAGAAAGCTCATTCCATAACCTGAGTGTTCGTGAGAGAAAACATCTCTGAAACCGGGCTGTACGGGACCATTTAGGCTGTAGGATATGAACTCCTTCTTCAATAATTTCTCAATGATTAACAGATTGAAAACTGGAAATGATCACCGAATGGTAAGAGGTATATTGATCCAGAATATTAGACTGGAAATATTTCGTCCGATAAAGTTTACGCTCCGATATTCGCGTGTCCCTTATCAAAAACTCCAAAAGTTTTCAACTCAAATTGTCAAATCGCTTTAAATACCTGGTGAACTGTAAGATAGCGGAGGATAACAACGATAAGCCAAAGAAAACTGTACTAGCAGTGGAACACCACTCCCAACACTCAAAAAGAACTCAAAACCTTTCTGATCACACTGTAAATTTTATGAAGATTACTATGTGTAATGTATATATATGTATTGAACAGGCAATAGAGCGGAATTAAAGCCCCAAAGTGTTTTTCGCAGATTTGGCTATTGGGCGAAACCAACTGACAAAGTTGAAGACCAATACTGGTGATGTAATCTCCGCCAAATCTGAGATTTTGCGTGAGATTAAGAAGTTCTATGGGCAGCTGTATACAACGTCGTTAACACCTTATACCAATGCGAATAACGCCCAAAGAGCTAAAGCCACCCAACACTACAGCGATGACATCCCGGACCTCAGTTTGCAGGAGATTTAAATAGGTCTCAAGTAGCTTCAAACCGGCAAGGTACCGGGGAAAAGTGAAACTACAGCAGAGCTTCTGAGAGCATGTGAGAAACCGGTACTTATAATCCATCAGAAGCCATTTAATTTCGTCGTCCATAACGGTATTATGCCGGAGATATGGAGCAGAATTGCGGTGGTCTTGTTCTTCAAGAAAGGTAACAATACCCTACTGAAGAACTCATATCTCTTCTGAATCTCATCTACGTGCTGTTTTCGATAATCTTAAGCAATCGTCTTACGCGGTAACTCAACGACTTCCACTTACCCACACAAGCTGGCTTCAGAAAGGGCTTTAACACCGTAGACCATATACATACACCACGTCAGATTATACAGAAGACCTAAGAATATAATATGCCACTACATCTGGCGTTTGTGAAGGAGTATATATACCTAGAACAATTTATCCAACTAGATAAATCCATTTTCTTCCGAGAGATCAACCAACGAGGTCTAGGCAGTGCATGCAAAATACATGAGTTAGTTGTATCTAGATGAGGAAACTCTTAAATGATAAGAGAGAGAGAGATAAAAGTTGGAAAATAATGTGCTAACTGATTTGTAACATTTATCTGAATCAGCTGTTTCGATTTAATCCAGAAGACTTTTTGTAAGTTTATAAAATTCCCATTATACATACATACATACATACATACATATATATATACATATATATATATATATATATATATATATATATATATATATATATATATATATATATATATATATATATATATATATATATATACATTAACTAACTTAGGTTGCCGTTACGGACGCGGGTCTCTATCTATAAGACCTACGTCCGTTGTTAACATATGCCGCACCCGCTTGGTATGCACTGTGCTCTCCGACGCTTAGGCGCCGGCTGCAGGCCCAGCAAAACATCGCTCTCCGCTTGTGCACGGGAGAGAACGTCCGTAACGACGTTATCGCCCGCGGCTTAGGGGTCCCAACGGTGGAGGAGTTCGTTGTCGACATGGCGAGCAAAATGTTCGCCCGTTTAAAGGGGCCTCGCGCCGCTGCATGCGCGTCGGACGGCCGTCCCACGCCTAGGGACCTCCTGTGCACAGGCGAATAGTGATCGTGATTGCCTCGTCTACCAGTATGACGACTTACCTACCCTTTTTCCCCAATTCCCTCCTCTCGCCCGTTCCAAGTGTGTAATTATATCCCCCGCGTCGGGGGAGGGCCGACATACAATACTATTATTAACATCTATTATATATATCTGGGAACGGGCGAGAGGGGAGAATTACAACTTATAATAATAAAAAAAAAAAAAAAAAAAAAAAAAAAAAAAAAAAAAAAAAAAAATATAACAATCAAAAAAACAAACAAATAATATAAAAAAAAAAAAAAAATAAAAAAAAAAAAAAAAAAAATATATATATATATAAGAAATATACAAGAAAGAAGAAGAGGCCACAACAAAGAATAACCAATACACAGACCACCAGTGTATGCCGGCTCAAAACCCAGTGACCCGGAGGTAGTTGCCTCCGGAGATGCAGCCGGGGTAAAGGGGTTTACCCCGAGACCCCTACCTCACCCGCCTACACTATTAAGGCGGGCAAGAAGACCCGGATGATGATGATGATGATAAGAATAGTTAGGTACTACAATTACTAGACAAAAATTTGTAAGCGGACCACTCCTGCATTCTTATAACCCTCTTGAATATAGTATCGGTAGCGCGGTAATGCTGTTCTCTAAAAGTCTAAACTTTTTTCAATACATATTAGAACTCCAAATAAATATCTACGTATTTAGCTCGAGTTAAGAACTCAAAGTCTATTGATAGAACAAAAATTACAAAGGTTCCGATAGACAGTTGCGACATCTATATTTTTTAAAAAAACATTATTTAACTGAAAAATGTTTATAACATTTACAAAATGTAAATAATGTATTGTAAGTCACAAAGATATTACGAATCTTTTATTTGAGTATAATTAACTTATTAAAACAAATTAAACAAACCTAAAATCGATGAGATTGCGTTGTTTTAATATTATTTTGTATTTATTCAAGCAAAAAGGATGATTTTTTTTTCAAATATCAAATATTTCTATCAATTTTTGGCCATTTTCTGAATACATCATAATATCACTTATATAATAAGTTCCGTAATATTATATTGTTACTGCAATTGTAACGGCAGGTACCTATGACAGAAGAAAAGGGATTGTTAGTAATGGGCCCAACAGCTCTATTGCTACAAATTAATTCATTAAATCTTCTAGAATTCGTCACAATAGGTTAACTGATCTGTTTCCATTGTTATCTATAATCCCTCAGTGGTGTCCCACCAGCGTATACCAATAACATAGACGGAGATAACATTCCATTTTCACCTATTAAAAAAGTATCTATGACAAACTTCAGTTGAATTGAATGCTACCGCGTGCATATCAGTAATTAAATAAAGTAATAAAGTCAATTTTGATCTAAAAATACAAAATTTACATTCAAGAGTGTCATTAAACCTTTATAGTTCTTTTTCTTTATTATACTTTTCGACTATGCTTTTTATCATTCACAAATAGCAAAAGATTGAAAGAGAGAGCAGCTAGCAACACCACTCGCAATGCATTTTAAATTAACAGACCGCTAACAGATGTCGTTGCCAGAACTATATAATTTAACCTAAATTGATATTAGTACGAAAGAAAATTTTGCACATGTTTTGTATTGTAAGTAAATATAAATTTATTTAATGTAAGATTACAGAAATATTGTACGAAGTGTTAATCATTATAAAAGATGAGTACTTACCAAACATTCTTCTTAATCTACTCCTACCTACACAATTTTAATTACAAATAGATTTAGTAGGTACTAAGTACATGAATATTTATCTACGAGATTTGGTTGAGTCGCAAAAACTTACAATGACATTGACTGAAGAAATTTAAGTTTCAAAGGACGAAATCATATGTAGAATGCATTTATTTATTTACTTACCTACCTACATAGTTCATACCAATTGAAATAAAATTAATTAATATAGAATTGACAAAATACAATTGTCAATAAAATGTTTCACATATTGCGAAACTCCAAAGAGGAATGTACCTATAGAGTTACTGGCCATTTCTTTTGCCAGTAATAAGAAAATATGACAATGTGAAAAAATGACAAGCTCTCTAAAATTTAAGATTTTGAAAAACCTTTTATCAATACACTAGGTACTTACTTAAGTTTTAATATAAGGTAGATAGGTATGTATTAAAAAACCACTAAATAACGAAGTCATCAAAATAAAATTAACTGCATAATGCAGAAAATCAAAGAAGAAGATAGAATAAAGTAGTTATTAGTTTGAAATTGAAACCTACAGTGACCACATAAATTACCAAGAAAACATGTTAATGACATATATCCATCTCGCTCTAGCTCGCGAAACAGTGTACGACAAAATGGCGTCCGATCCCGACCGCCAACCGAGAAGTAGCAGCAAACAGCTGTGTGTGTGTGCATTCGATCACCCTCTTTCCTTCGTGAAGGTGCACGTTCGCGGTCAACGGTCGCAGTCTGCTACTACTTCTGGATCATCGAATTGATTTCTCTTGAACGTCGACTCTGGAAATATGTAAGTTGTAATATTTATTCATTTGTTTATTTTAGGATTCGCAGATTCGAGCAGAGGAGGCGATAAATATCTATCTACTTTTGATCTTTTAGCTTTTATTATATCCAGGTTTTCCAGGTTTTGTTGCACTAAGAAGAATTCGTGATGTCATCTGGCTATTTTTAAAAATCTCGCATTTTAAGTAGATTGATAGTTGACTTTCAGCATTTTTTTGGATATCTAGCAAAATGTTAATGTATTATCAATTCATTATAATAAACATTTCAATTTTCAAATATAAGTACCTGTCTACCTACTTAACTCATTGAGCAAGATTTTTACTAATTGTTAAATGTAATATGAAGTAGATATGCCAAATTATGCCAAACGCTATGTCACATTAGTATATTGTATGCCAGTATCGGCCAAAGTGGCAACGTCGCATATTGTTCGACCCATTGGCGCTGTTGCCGTACTACTCTGCCGCGTCCGTGTTCACTGCTCAGTAGAATGTTATCATTTAACATTGAAGTCTAAGTCAGTAAGGTATATGTAATTCTGCAGTACTATGTTACTATGCAGTAGCATTTATTGTTTTTTTCCAAGTACCTTCCAATATTTTTTTCTTATTATTATTAAAATTTGGATGTTTATTGATATGATTGATAAATTTAAACAACAAGATAACTATTACAGGCAATTCATGTCTCATTTTACATTATTGTCAGACCTTGTTTGTTAATCTTTAATTTAATGCTGTTTGGCAAAATAATCTAAATTTTTATTCTAAAGAATAGCTAATATGAAAATGTAGCTTTTTCATAACGATATTAAGCATAAAAACATTTGTACTACCCCACAAATTGTTTACTTTTTCAATTACAATTTGTGAAGGATCACAAGTAGTTTTCTGCATAGTCATAGGTAGGTCAAAGTTCCATCAAGTGCCAATAATCCCAGATAGGTATAAGAAACCTTTTCACATTAACCTGTTCAATATATTTCAGTTCGAATTTCTGTGTTTATTTAAAGATGTTCCTGATCTAGAATGTGATTTAGTATCTGTATATCACATCTATCTAATTTAATCTAGTTTGTGATGAATAACGAGGTTCATATAATACTTCGTATCTCAGCTATCCTGTTTGTCCGCTTTTTATACATTATGTAATTCGTTGGCTGGAAGTCATATAGTCATCTCTTTCTATCTCAGGTAGTTCTTAAATACTGCGATATACTTGTTTCACCAGTTTTCGCATATCAGTTGATCCTCCCTCATACCAAAGAGACTCTCTGTAAAAGTCTGTCCCTTCTGGGCAGTTTTCGATTCCAGGAGTGATAATGCTGAATGTTTTTACTACCCAAGTTAATGTTTCTTTAAAAATATCTTTACTGCTTGATTTACCACCAAATATTAAATGTTACTTGATGAGAGCAGTTATTGGAGACTAATCCTAAGCAGTTGTGTTTGCGTGGCTGTGTTTCGTTTTGTAGGGTGGGATGTGGCAGTAAATTTACAGGGTACAGAGAAATTAGTCCTCAGGAATGGCAACGCATAGGGGGGTATCATGCGCGAAACAGTATACTCTGTTGTCCATGGTACTGCTCATGTCTATAGGCGACGGTTACCACTTTCCATCAGGTGAGCTGTCAGCTTGTTTGCCAGTCTAAGTTGCATAAAAAATCCACAACGAAAATTTATACTTTAAACGGAAATTAGGGCAACTATAATGTTCTACTTTTAGTTTCATTTAAAATGATTTATTAAAAATAAGGTTAATCAGTTCTTCAAACGAAGGGGTAAAGAGGTATCTTCAAGGCCGGCAATGCGCACGTAATGCCCTGGTATCGCATGTGTTCATAGGCTACGGTAACTACTTACCATAAGGTTTTTTTTATACTATTTAGAATGGCAAACAAGCTGACGGCCCACCTGATGGAAAGTGGTAATCGTCGCCTATAGACATGAACAGTACCATGAACATAACAGAGTATACTGTTTCGCCCATGATACCCCCATGCGTTGCCATTACTGAGGACTCAGGTGTTATTCCTCTGTACCCAGTAAATTCACGACATATCCCACCCTTCAAACCGAAACACAGCCATGCAAACACAACTGCTTTAAGGTAGAAACACGAATGAGACAGAGGTCCCCAAGCAATCGACTTTTGTACTAAGTCTCCCTCTGATAAATCCGTATCCTTGTTTGACACCTTAGTGGCATAAAAAATACCTATAATAAGTAATAAGCTATTTACAAATAAAATAGCTGAAAAAACTCACGAAAGCAATATATATAGGAATATTATTATTTGCTGAATCATCATCATATCGGCCGTAAACTGTCCACAGTTGAACATAGGCTTCCACCGTCTCCCGTTTTGCCAATAGTTAACACGCTTGACAGGCGGGTTGGCAACTGCAGTTAGGTTTTTGCAGTTGGCTCCCCCTGAGGAGCGCGCTTTTCCCGAATATTAAGTTCCAAGTTGTATACCTGATTCTTTTAATTATTCAGCGGCATTTTTCGTTTATCCTTCCCGTCCACTTTTCTTTCAATTCATTCACATTTACCTTCCATACTTTATTTCTTTCTCTAGCGTGATTATTATTTCTATGTCTTGTTTACTTTTCATTTTATTATTATCAGGTTGAAATTTTGCACTATTAAGGAACAATTCCCGTTAAGCGTTTGTTTTGTATGCTACCATCTACCGTCACCACAGTTAGGCTTTTGGTGATGTTTAACCCTTAAATACCTAAAGTTTCAAATTTGATACCGGGGTTATAAATCGCATTGGGCGCCTACAATCGATTTTATTTTAATATTTGGCTGTTTACATGTCACCAAATGTTTTTTTTTTTTTTTTTTCAAAATAAATATATAAAAATATCGTTTTGATTTTTTTTTACTATTGTTCCCCATTAGTAAACACAGTAAAGGGTACACTTATATATTTTTTAATTTGATTTAAAAAATCAGGCTTTTAAGAGTTAAAGAGGGACGCCGCTTATCCCTCGATTATTAAGCTCCCTTAGTCACCTCTTATGGCATTCACGGAAAAGGAAGAGAATTAACTGTAACCTTTATTGTATTTATTAAAAGGCAACTACATTACTCACTTTCGCATGAAAACGGATATTTTTCTAACTTTCCTAAAAAAAAAATAACTCGTTAATATATCTCTATGAAATGCTTCGATGAATCGTTATATTGTCCTTCTAAATAACAATTTACTTTAGTTAATTTTTAACAAATTACTAGAAAATATACATATTTATAAGCATATTTAATTTTTCCTGTACCATTTTTGGCAAATATTGCACCACTAGTAATCAGATATTAATATATGTAAAAGCAGTATTCGCTGGTAATATTAATGAAAATACAGCTTGCAGATACTCTTTTCTCTAAAAAAAAGAAAATACAAATTCACTTCTTGTTCAAATTCTATATCATAACCACATTTAGCCTTTAAAAAAAAATCAACTTAAGCTCCTTCTTCCTTTCATACATTCTATAATCATCCACATTCATCGCGATGTTCTTGTTACTGTCGTTACCATGTCTGCTTACACGTAGCGCAATTCAAGCCGCTAAAGTTTACAACTGATCTAACCAAGCAATGTATTTTATCCATATATTTATAGCCGTTATTCCGTAGTACTGAAGTTAAGGGTGACCGGTTTTAGCTGGCCTACTATTAAATAGCATTAATGGTTACTTTTTGTTCGATTTTTCAATGCATTATTCTTTATATTTAATAAAGTGCAATTGTGTTTTTAGATTCTAATTCTTCTATTTAAAATATACCTACGCGTTGCGTTATATGACTCGTTTGTATATCTTATCATTTAATACAGAATCTGGGGAAGTAGGCACTACATAAATAACATTTTAGTAAAACCATTTATCATTATGTTCTTTAACAATTCCCCATCTGTTTTTTTTTATGACAACATTGATAGAAATTGAATTTCCTCTCTTTCTTTTTTGTTCTTTTGCGTATATTTAAAATCTATGTATCTCAAACGATATTCAATTGTGAAAACTTGATGTGCTTGATTTATTTTATAATGATTTCTTATCACCTGCATAACTTCTTTATCTTCTTTTATTAACATAGTTATTTCTGGTGAGGATTTAGGAACTTCTATCAATTACTTTGCATGGAGCTGCTCTATCTATTTATATGATGACGTAAGTCGACGTCTATATAGCTCGCTCGGCAATACTCGGCCTCAATCGACTCGGACTCGTGCCCAGCAGAGAGTCAAACGACCTAACTCGACGCGAGCGTTTATAAAAGCAAAGCGGCAACGCCGCATGGCGAGATCTTAATAAAGGCAGGATTATTGAACTAATATTTAGGTTTTGGAACTAGATATTTGCACTCTTTAATAGAATCTTTTAAAAATGATTTGTTAGGTCTGTCGGTCTTTTGAAGAATTTTATTGGATTATATAATTGATGCTAATGACTAGTCAATGAAATGCTGTGGAATCCGAATTTAGAACACAATATACTTTAAAATGTCTGCTACAAAGACGATTTAAAACATTTAACTAGTTGTTTTGGTTTTGATAATGTATTTAAATTTGTAAAAATGTTCATACATAGTTTTACCTACACAAATTTGTTTATTTTTTTAAAATACTATTTCAAATGAAACCTACCATTGGTTCAAGTAAATATTTATCACTAGTTTAATAGCTAAATGGTTTTTTTTTAGCATTAGAACGTTGCATAGACTGCAACCTTAACCTAACGATCTCACGGAACAAAAATAATTACATTTATGCTAACGTTTACAGAAGTAGAACGCAAGAGAACGAGAATTGCTATCCATGTGACCTCCCAGATATATATAAGTATATATACTTCGCCTACGTTCTCATTCGTTTCACAGAGTAATGTATGCGTCGAAGGTTACCGATTCCTATTTCCGCGACTGATTGCCGTACCCTCTCGCACGCTAGTGTTTATCGATTGTGCTATCACGCTTTCTCCGTTATTTTTGTATTTACGAAGCAACTGCGCAACTTCTGTGCAAGGCTTGCTCTGTATCGTGTACTCATGCTCTCACCACGAAGTATGTCGTCGTCGCCATATTGCGTCCGCCATTTTCTTCTCTCTCTTTCTGCTTGTTGCCAGTGCTGTTATAACCGCGTAACAGAGCGCTCGTATCGTACTATTTCAAATCTTCTCGGTTACTCTTCTACTTCTGGAATCTCTTGCTCAAACAAATTAGGTAGGTACCTACTTATTATTTGTTTACATAATTGAATATTATAAATAAAATGTTGGTATTTTTAGATTAATATGTGTTTTGTTGACGACTGTATAGATATTTTTGTAATGTTTCATCTTGTTTTAACATAGCCACCCTACACTTTTTTTTTCTATCGCTTTTTATAACTACCGACGATTTCTTTTTCCAATAGCCATTAATTTATCTATTTTTGTAATAAGTAGTGTATTTTTAAATCTTTTTCTTATTTTTAAAGATTATTATGTAGCTAAAATGGTTTTTACTTCTATACTTATAATGTATTTTGTTTGTGTCGGTAAATATTTGATTAGTGTTTTGACGTTTTCAATTGACAGTTTTTGAAAACATTCAGAGGTTGTAAACATTTATACTTAGTACACAATTTTTATTATTGTTACTTTTTTTTCACGGGTAGTTACAGTTATTCGTTTATCTCTACTCTATTTTAATTACCTACCTACTCGCCATTCAAATATAAAATTCACACATTTAAGTACCGGCAATGCATTAGTAATTCCACTGGTGTCATTAGAGTCTTTTTTTTTCGATGGGTGAAAATGGTATGGTAACCCCGCCTGCGCTAACGGGATACGCTGGCGGAGCACCAGTGAAGGGTGATAGATGAGAATGAAAACAGGATCGTCATGATGAATTCATCAGGAATTAACCATGATAGTGTCCAGGGGGAACCACGAGGAGGTCGACCTGGTTGAGTATATTGCTAGCAATGGGATTCTGTCTCCATCACTAACAATCCTTTTCCCCACGGTGTCATTAGGGTCATGGGCTGTAATAATCACTTGTCATCGGATGAACCTCATGCTCATTTATCGTTTTCACATAAAAAAAAAAATACATAAGTATCTATTCACAAACGACGAAACTAAATTAAAAAAAAAAATAAGGTCAATACGGGAATAAACTGTTGAATAAAAAAAGAATAATCGTAATACAATAAGTATTCAGACGAATTAGGGATTTCTTTAAGAAGAAATTTATTATAACTAGCATTATGTATTTTTATATAGATAAATAGTTTCTTTTTCACCGCATAAATTACATTTCTATTTTGCCAAAGGTTGACTGGTATAGAATGCTATATAGTATCAAGCCCGCCTTTTTTATCTACCATTTTTTTTGTAATACGGTCAATATAAAATAAATAAATAAACCTTAAAAATATTTCCTTCCGAATCTTCTTCGAACGAAGGACTGGGTTATTACTGTTTTCTGGTTTTCGTTCGATAACCCTCTGCTCTGTTCCACCTTCACCTCATTCGTTTTGGTTTGGCTGCAGTCGCGACATATTTCTATCTCTTTCGTACTCGTGCCTCTAGCATGGATTTCGCGCGCGATAGTGAGTATCAGGAGTTTCGTCTTTGACTTGGCGATCACCATACAGCTCAACACCAAATGAGTGGGGAATTTTATTCCGGTATTCTACGTAATAGACCGACCGGCCGCCATTTTGATTTCATGTTCCATGTTACGTCTTATTGTCTAGGTATTATCGTCTGCTCTTTCCTCTGTTTTAAAAATTAATGTATTTGATACTGTAGACTGTATTTTACTACTCGTTACTGGCCAAACTAATATACGGTATATTAATGCTAAGTTTGATTGTCACCATTTACACTAGACAGTAGAAGACCTATATTTATAGGTTATTTATGTATTTAGTTACTGTAGCAGCATGACTTATCTATTTGATTTTAGACTGGTGAAACGCTGAGAAGTACCTATCTTAGGTTGCGTAGTTTGTACCTTAAAAACAAGAAATAACATTTATATAATTTTGCTAATAGGTTGGTCTATTTTGTTATTACGCGTAAACGTTTTGAAATCAGAAAATAACTCATTGTTCTTTTCACTTGTATTTTTTACTACAGTCATTGGGGTTGATTCTTGACCGCTATCAATCTAAATTTGTCTTTAAAAATCAATATTTTAATTTAACGTCACAACGATTTTTTTTTTTTGTAAGAACATATTTTCTAATGGTTTTAAATCAAAATTATTGTAATCTTATTTTCTGAAATAGTAATCTTGCGAAATTATCAAATTATAATATATAGTTAGGATATATGTATGTTGTTAGGAGAAATGGTATCTTAGAATCGGTCCCAATATTTCTATTTGGCTTTCGTGTTGCTACAACGTAACAATAGTGATCTCGGGGGTATAGGCTTGCCGCTCTAATGGGTTGGAGACTACTAGGGGCCTTGTTAAAATATCAGGTTGTTCACTGTACTAATTCAGTAATAATAGACATATACCTAGGTGTATTGTAACATAAAGTCCAGCTGAAAACTTTTAGAACTTCATTTAGATCTATACTACGTTAGATAGGTAAGTATGTGCTGGAGCATTTAAAATTATCTGTTTGCAAATTCCCTTATCAAATGTTTTGAACGAATATTTCATTAAATGTTATTAATTACGAATCGAGGTTTAATTTACACTCAATAAAGACATCGTTAACAATGAAACTGAATAAATATTTCTTATTACAAATGTGTTGGTTTACAAAATTAAACTCTGCTAAAACGAATCCACTATGAGTTCAAGGTGAAATAGATTTCGCGGCAAAACACTTAGAATTCAAACACCATCCTTATTTTTGTTAAATATTATACATGTTTTCCGTAAAACGAAACTCCTCATTGCACTTGGGAAATAGATTCGACTAATCTAAAAGATATTATAAGAATAGTAAAACCAATAAATATAAGAAAAGTCTTCTTCACAGCATTTATTCAGTTTAAATACTTAAATATAAACTATTAGTTGTTACTTTATTATAATTTTCCAGTAAGAATTTTCTAATATCATTATACTTTGATATATTCCAAAGCGCCGTTATGCCGAGTAGTCCCGGCATGGAATGAGCTACCCCTTCCTTTCCCGTGGGTGTCGTAAGAGGCGACTAAGGGAGCTTAATGGTCGAGGGACGGGTAGCAACGTCCCTCTTAAAACCTCCCCAAAGCCTAACTGAACTGAGAAAAGACAAAATACTTCAGTGGCTAAAATAGGTTAATAAGGAAATATTTGGCGTTTTTATGAATAAGAGAGTTAATGTTAAAAATATCATTAATATAGTGCCAAAACTTGAATTTGTTTATAATTCTATAATAAGAATTGGTTTTGAAGATATGGTAATTATTCATATAAATGAAGTAAAACGAAAATTGTCTTTGAATATATTTTGAAGTGTTTAAAGGGAATAAATATAATCATAGCATCTTGACATCGATGTCCATTCGAGAGCCTTCTAATTATGATCAAGCACGTCGAAGGAACTTTTTCCATATTCCATTGAGAAGAATAGAGCTAGTGAAACAGGTAAACTATAAAAGGAATAGAGGTAGGAAACTTGTAAACTTGTCGAGTTTCGCAGAATGGCATTAAATTATTTAGAAAATGTTCAATAAATAAATGTTGTTGTTTGTAAATAGTGTGATTGCTAAGGGAGCTAATTGGGAAACTGTCTTACTTACTTAGTTGGTAAATATAATTAAATAAATGATAGCACTCATTTATTTACTCGAGGAAGTACAATGATACCGCAACTTATTATTAGTATAAATACAATCAAGAAAGAGCTCAGTGCTAGTGACCTGGGGATAGTCGCTCCCGGAGTTTAAGCCGAGGCAAAAGGAGCCGCCCCGACGCGCCCACCTAACCCTCCTAGGAGGGTCTAGATGACCCGGATTGATTGAAACATAATCCTATCTCATGAGTTGAAATCAATAATACACATTGATAAAATTTCATTAAATACGGTAAATCGATTTCGGAGATTAACATGAACGAACATCGTGACACAGCACTTTATATAGATAGATAGAAACTGTTTGTTTCCACCATAAGATCACAATAGTAAACTTATTATAAATACAAACAATTACAAAAAAATATTACACTGAGAAAACAATGGGCGGCCATATCGCTAAGAGCGATCTCTTCCAGGCAACCTTTTATGCTAAGATTTAAAAGTGAAGGTTTAAAGATGTTTACCAATAATATGAACAAAACGTCATTCAACTTAAGTATATTTGTTAGAAAACTTACAAACAACCCACCAACAGCGGTTAATAACCCCCGTTTAACTGTTCTTATTCCACTTTATTTCTTTTAGAATTTGACACAAGTAAATATGAAATAGGAATTTACTAATTTATTTGACATTATTGTACTGTTATCAATTATTTATTGATATTTAAACATTTGCTATGTTTCACTCTGTCACCTTTATTATTATTGATAAGTGGGTATCGAGCTAGTTTGTAAATCAATTTTCACCGTCTTGTTTATTTTTAAAATTTCTTGTACTCCTCAGACAACAATGGCTACTTCCTTGCCTTGCAACCCTTGAACTCAGCATTCTGGAGCCTTCTTCTAGCAGTTCTAGCAGAAATCTTTTTTCTCAGTGTCTCACTTAGTTCAGCAGCCAATTCAGATATTTTCTTACGATTTTTCAAAGAAATTCGCATTAACTGTCTGTCTTCTCTTGCAGATGTAATTCTTTTCCTTTTACTTCGTATCAAGTTTTCGTGTCCTGTGGTCATCTTGTACCGATTTAAAATATACCTTACGGTACTATGTAGACATTTCATAATCTTTACAATTTCACTTTTATTTTTGTTTTCTGCAAACAACAGCTGGACTTTAATTGTTCCTCGTTCCTTTATTCACGCTTAGGTATTTTTCTAGTTCGTTATGAACTGCCTCACGTAAAACAACAACCAATTTACAATCATTTGTCAACAGTTCTTCACACTGATGAATAGTAGTAAACTAGAAATTTCCCTAAAATTCGACTTACCTGGAAAAGAGTTCACTTCTATTGTGTTTATAGTTTTATGACGTAATGCATTGTTTTGATTGGCTTATTTCAATCTTTAGACGTGTACTGTGCGACAATAGAATCAGTGCAGATTAATATGTAACAAATTTGATAACATTTTTAGGGTGGCAAATACTTTTGGCCAAGGCTGTATGTTAAAGTAGAAAATGATTAATCTAGGAATCAATATTTTATTATCGAAAGAATACAAAGTAATCGCATTATCATACAGTATATCATACTAAAAAATAAGGAAGTTTATAATAATCAATCAATTTATCGATCTGTCATTTTGAATTATACATATTTAATTTTAACAAATGTCACTTTTTAAGGATATTCTAATTATTTAAAGTGTGATTATCAGCCTCCTGGACATGGCGAATGCGAAGTCGGAAGACTATACAAAATCTCAAATCACGACCTACCTACCATAAAACTAATAGTAAAAACGACAAAATATTTATCATTATGTAAGGCAGAGGAAAGAAAAAAAAACCGTTAGGTCGAATAGCACAAAAAATAATCTCCTGAACATAGTTTTAATTTTGGTAATAGTTTCAACCAATTTTCGATCGTAACTCTAAAAATCTGACCGAGTTGTCAAAACCTTGGGTTCGGTCAGAGTTTATATCTACTAGTCCCTAGATTTTAGTGCTTAAATAGTCATTTTGCAAAAAACAGTTTCTTCTTGTGTCTCTCTTTATTCTTACTTATATCATCCCTCATTGATAGTGTTAATGTACACTAACAGACAGTGAAGGCGCCGCGGCATTACAATTCCATTTTCACTCAATGACCTACCTGCCATCATGTGTTATCTATAATTCTCATAACAAGTGGTGACATCTCCTGTTTTTCGACTTCTCTGCTTCTATATAACTTTGCGACTGCTGTAAATAGTTAAGAATACTACGGTGTTCACTAGATGTCGCTAATGACAATGTTGACAGCTATAGATAAAATGTCGCTGCTCTTGGAGTGCCTCTGTAGAGTTCATAGCTCTTTTGACAGTTCCTTATTATCATAGACAATTTTAATGTTTAAAAAAATTAGCAAAAATACGATAACAAAATTGTCGTAAAAGATAAATAATTTTGGTCTGTGTAGCGCCACTAGCGCATCAGCTCGTGATCAGCGCTAGCGCCAGTGTATCGAATAAGTGGTTTTGTTTTTCCTCTTATTGATTTATGCGTGCGCATTTGTTTTTTTTTTTTTTTTTTTTTTAATTTTCGCCTAAGCTTTAAGTGATAGGTATTTGGAAAATAAACATTTATTTTTTTCAATCTATGATTGTTAAGGTATGTTCTAATTCCAATACCTAACAAAGCAATTTATAAATTTCTCAACAGGAGACTATCGTTTTAGCATATTTACCAATGCATAACTGCACAGAACTTATATAGTTCGTATGTATTACTAACTATGATTAACGATATTTACAAATATTTTATTATTGTTAAGAACAAGATAGGAATCTAACCTTTTGTTACTGAGTTGACAAATGGTTAATGTTTGTTAAAGATACCATATTTCAGTTACGTAGCATTTGGTGGGGAAAAGGAATAAGTTGGTGTTGGGTATCTGTCTCGAAATGACGAGATCGCAAAATGAATAGGTATCTTCTTACCAACCTAGTTGGCGAAAAAATTTTTTTAACCTAACCTATATAGATTTATGTATTCAAAACCCAAAAATCGACATACCTATCTGATGATTTTTTCTTTATATACATGTACATACATATCTGTGGGTTTTAAAATATGAATTTTATTGATAAACAGACTTACATATTAATCTGGTATTACAACATAAACTTTGCCAATATTATTATCAAACAACAGATAGGTTTTAAACAAAAAACTGTTTCTTACTTTTGTTTTCATTTACCATAGACAAAAATTATACAATATAATACTGTACATTAAAAGCAGTGAGTAGTTTGCATTCCACAAAATACTAAACACCTCATTGATCTCCTATTGGTATCATACCCAAATAGATCTATAGCTCTTCTAATAACTAGTTGATATTAACTTATATAACCACATATAATCACAAGCAGCCTTCTATAGGATTTTAATAGCAGGTTTTCGTTTTTTGTAACTGAAAATTATGTAGATAGAGCATTGAGTATCAAAAATGGGTAATAATTTAGTCAGCTAATTTGACATTTAGCTGACAAAATTTTGACACACATTGTTTTAATCAAAACCATATGCATTTTTTTCAGTGTTGCAAGTAATCACATAAAAAATTTCCCAGATCAGGTTAATCATTTTAAATTTGAATAAGGCATCTATTTTTCAATATACATATATGTATTGCTTACAGATTAAAGTACATGTCTTACTGAAAATGCCAGTTACTTTCAATGATTTAAATATGTAAAAATTTTATCTCTATACTCAGATATAAATTAAAGTGATCAGTAAAAATAAGCATCTTTATGAATCATAACAATTTTATATCATTTCTATTTTTCAATTTAACCTTACAATATAATTAATGTACATTATGGTAACTATTCATTCACATGTGGATAAATAATTTGATCTGTTTTTGGTAAAGCATTTGTATGGAGGCACTATTTCTAAGACCTGGTATAATTGGTATATTGAGCCTTAATCTACTCTTATAATATCTTTGGGATAAAAGGTAGTGCTAGTATATTGTATTCTGATTCTGTTATTATACTGATACTAAAGTTAATAAAATTAAACACAATATAATAAAATATACTGAAAAATAATTTTTAACAAATGTTATTGAACAAATTGATTGTCATGTTTATCATGAGTACATATGTTGTTACATTTTTTTAATACATTTTTAATTATTTACATTTAATATTCATTAAGGGACAATTATTGTTAAACTTTGTGTAAATGTTAAAAAATATAAGTGACAAAAATAAAATATGGTAGGTGGATAATGTTTCAGTTTCTTAGAATAATATCATTTAGTCTTCTTTATAAAGATCAACACTTTCTAGTGAAACATATTACATATTTATATAATAACAAGTACTGTAGATAAGGGTGTTGGTTTTACAATAATTAAGATATTTCTATGTACTTCTGTATGTTTAATGAATAATTTTAAAATTGTTATCCTAAATAATATAAATAAATATTAACTGTCATAACCATTATAAATTTAAACAGGTATTTTTTTTTTATTTTCAGATATAATAACTCGTCTGATGTGACACGGGATATGCTAAACAATGCAATTAATATTAGATACTGAACCTAGTATAGATGTCAAGAGAAACATGTCAGCTTTAAATCAAGAACCTCTGGGTGAACAAATTGAAAATGTTATTCAGAATCTTAAAAATGATATTTCTAATGGTAACAAAGAAAATATCGAAACACAGAGCAATGTAATAATTGGAGATAATAAAGATCCTATGGTGGAAAATGATAAAACAAGTGACAATGATATTAATGCAACATTTTTACCATTGGTCAATGAAAGCTCAAAGATAGAAGATATTGACGACATAACCAAAAATGAAAACAATATTAAAGAAATATTGCAAAACATAGAGGAGAAATCCACAGTAATAGATGAAGAAGCCAACTCTATTGTTGTTACACAAGAAAATGAACTTGGTGACATTGAAGGTAATGGAATTTCTATTGAAAAGAAATCTAACATTTGTTTAAAACAAGAACAAGTTGTTGAAGAGAAAATAGAGAATACATCAAAAGAGCAAATAAATAATGATTCTTCATCAACTTCTGTTGATGATACTCGATTAGAAGAAAATAAAAGTAATGATATTGAGCTAGATGAGGAAATAATTGTAAAAGAAACCGTAAAAGTAAATGGCCCAGTTACCGATCAAATAAGCAATGAGCAAATTGACGAAATATTTTTAGAAAACCAAGTAAACAAAATTGAAACTGATAGCGAAATTATGATAAAAGGAGAACCTATAGACAACAATGAACCAGTTGTTGATGACAAAATAGAAGAGATATCAAAAGAACAAATATATAATAAACAGATTGATGTGATATCTTTAAAAGAAAATAAAATAGAAGAAATTGCATCCGAAGACGATAAAGTCATTCAAAATTCTGTAGAAGATAATGAAAAAAATCAAGTCACTATTAACAATGATAACAGTAATAAAGAAGAGGATATTTTAATGGAAATAGATAGTGAAGAAGAAGATATTTGTATTAAAGACGTTACAATGAACGAGGAAGATAGTAAAAAACATCCTTCCACTGAAAAAGATAACAATAAAATTGCTGAATTTGTAATGGAAGAAGACAACAAGATTGAAACTATTAATCAAGAAGGCGCAGGAACGATTTCTATAAGTAAAACAAATGAAAATACAGAAGTCGAGAATGTTAACTTTGTAATGGAAGTAGACAATAAGTTTGAAACTACTAATCAAGAAGTCGCAGGAACGATTTCTATAAGTAAAACAAATGAAAATACAGAAGTCGAGAATGTTAATAGTGAAGAAAAACAACTATATAAAGCATCAGAAGAAATAATTGTAGCAATGGATACAGTTACAAGCAGAGAACAAGGTGTAATATCCATAAAGTTAAAAGATAGTGAACAAGTTTTTGAAAGTGAGACTGACGACAATAAAGAAAAGGTTTTTTCTAATACGAATGTAGATGAAATTAACAAAGTTGATGTAGTACAGGAAGATAAAATTAGTAGTCAAGATACAAAATTAACTGTGACGCAAGAGGAAGCAAAAGATGATACAAGTGTAACAACGTCAGTTTTAAAATTATCGAATACCCTTGATATCTTGTCAGATGAAGAGGATGAGCCTCCAACAACTGCAAATGAAAATAATAACGAGAGTAATCCTACTGAAAAACAATGCATTAATATTGATGATGATGATGACATTATGGTAATAGAAGATGCAAATAGTGAAGAAAGTAAAAATGAAACAAGTAAAGCTGAAATAGAAGCTCCCCATGAAGTAAAATCCAATATACATGACATATATGATAAGACAGCAATTCGCAAAACAAATGTGGATACTTTAACAACAGGTATGTAATTATTTCTTTCTTTATCCTTACTGAACAGTGACTTAATCATAAATTTTACATTCTATTATATTAATTACAGAGCATAAAACCATTCAGAAATTGGAAGGAGATAATACAGAAAATAGTGTCCAACAACAAGAAATCGAAAAAGTTAGTACTGTAAAAGAGGCTGTGGAAGAAAAGAAACCTCTAGTTCCAGATAATTTCCTAAAGACATATAAAAAGAGCTTAAATGATATGACGAGAGATGATCTAGAAGAGTTTTGTATATTAAAAATTGTGGAGAGTATTGTAGACAGGAGTAACTTAAGTGAAATTAAAGCAAAATTAAAGACTTTGACTCAAAATGTTGATGAGTATAAGAAAAAAGTCATGATGTTAACAAAACAAAATCGTGATCTTCAAGTAGTATTAAAATCTGTGCAAGAAGAACAGAAGAAAAAAATGGATACCATTATAACACCTTTGAAAATTACCAGATCAGTTGGTATGCAAGTTTTAATGACTGAAAAACCTGGTATAAGAAGGAAACCATTACCTAGTTCAACAGCAGCTACCCTTAATAATAATAATAATAGCCCCAATACCAGATCAGGCCGACTTCCTATTCAAAGTCCAAGGACTACAAAGCAGACTGCTCCCCTACAAATACCTGTACCAAGACTCGTTCCAGCTTCAAACAGTGCTGTTGTAAAAACTCCCTCGCCTATATCTCAGATTACAGGAAAAACAGTAGCTCCATTAAATGGCGTTAAAAATCCTTCACCAGCCCAGAAACCAGAAAAAAGGCCACATAACAAAGTACAAATGTCAGTCACAGTAGACTTGACTGATGATGAGCCACCTTCCAAAATAACAACTAGAAGTTCACCAGCTACACCACCAGTACGATTGGTGCCTCCTCAAAATCTAATGGCTCCACAAAGGCATCAGTTGAGTCAAAGTAGCCCAAGGAAAGTGTATATACCAATAAGTGGTCCACAAGGAAATATTAGGCCAGGTCAGACAATCATGTTAAAATCAGCACCTACACAAAGTGAGTGTTTTCAAATTGGGTGCAAATCTTGTACTATGTGTATATAATATTAATTTCATTTGAAATTTCATTTCAGATCCAAGACCACGGGGTCCTGCACCTCAATTAGCTAGAATGCCACAAAACCAAGTAAGAATATCTAGAGTACAGAGCAGGCACCCAGCCCCTCTTCCTGATGCTATGAAGCAATACCAGCCTCCACATTGGAAGGCGTTGCCGCCAGCGCCTGATCTCAAATTATCCAAAGTGGAGAATGGAATTGTAATCTCATGGAAAATTGAAGGCTACCTAGAAGACAGTTATGAAGAAATTGCTAGTTATCAACTCTACGCATACCAAGAAACTTCATCACCACCCAGTACTGCATTATGGAAAAAAATTGGTGATGTTAAAGCACTGCCTTTACCAATGGCATGTACATTAACCCAATTTATGGCAGGTTTCAAATACTATTTTGCTGTTAGAGCTGTTGATATAAGATCTCGACTTGGACCATTTAGTTTACCTGGAAGTATATTGCTCTTGAATAAAATGTAAGACTGATGTTTATTATTTTAGTTGTCTGATTATGTTTGGTGCCTACAATGTTATACATTGTGTGGAGAATGTAAGATGCAAGTGATAATTTTTAGTTGTATTTAGTTTAGTTATTTATTTTACTAGTTTCTAATTCTGTATAGAGCATGAGCATATTAGTTGTAGAGTTTTATTTTAAATTTTTCTATTGTAAAAAGGATATATTAATATTGAAGCCCAACAAAGGTGTTGTAAATAGTTAGTTAAATTAGAATATCCGAAATAAATACATGGACACTTCAAAAGAATTTTTAGATCGTGCTTTTTTTAAAATGTACCTAGTTTGTATAAAATTTAAGAAGTCTAAGTACTTACTTTGTATAATTTTAAATTTGACGTAACTGCCATTTCTGATGAAAACTATTGTGCAAGTAATAAAAATTGTCCAATACCTTCCAATATTCAGTTAATTCTGAATCATTTAGAAATTTGTAATTACAATTTTTATAACTACCTAACAACTGTTTTATTCAAATATATTGATTCCGACTCCAATAATCTTTGGAATGTAAGTTTTATATAAAATTAATGAGAATGTGATAAGCGGTCTAATCTAAAAATTACAAAACCGTAAATGCCCAATTTGAAACAAATTTCAGCATAAAATTGTATTGAATTGATATTTATTAAAAAAAAAAAAAAAAAAGAATCTACCATGAATTCGTCAATCTTAAAAACAAAATAAACGACATCTGAAATATAAGGTCGTTTTTTTCCCCCGTACTAGGACTGGAATTTTACAAGAGAATAAACTCATTTAATACACCCAGTGTTAATACCTATATGAAGTTGCATTAGTAAAATATAAGAAGTGAGCAAAATTTAGTGAATTATAGGTGTATTTAAAACAGAAATTAGGTGAGTTTTGTCCATAGATTTAGTTTATTTGTTCATATAACGTACAAAACCTTAGACTATGCAGTATACGTATATTTCAGTCTAAGGTCTTGTCTACCCCTGAATTGACTGGTGCTCACCCCAGAATAAGTGGAGCTTTCAACTATAGGCAAAGTCATGTCTGAGAGTATATATGTGTCATATTTAAGAAACCAGGCCCCCCCGGAAATAATTTTAAATATGCCAATATTGATAGGTAGCATATTTGACTGTAAATATAAATATCGAAAATTAACCGTCAATTTGGTGAATGAAACTGTTAACGAACTACCTCTGATATAAATAGATTTATAGGTGATGACTTATTTAAGTTGCGATAGTTGCTCGATACTTACTACCATTTTTTTAATACAGATTTTATTGACTAGCAACAGATAATGCGGACTCTGTAGAACGATTTAAGAACTAAATCATGGTCTTACATTTGTTGTTTTTGCCATAGATTATAAAGTCGCTCCATGTCTGAGAAAGGTGCGTTTAACCTATTTAACAGCAGAGAAACAGTCGTACTACTTCATACCATTTTTGAACAATTGTTTGCTCAGTGGTTTTTGTTACTTATAAGAAAAAATCCCGATTGAAATTATTCACTCGTAAGTCTAATATAATCCGTCAATGGTCATCTATGAAGTAATAAATATATATTACTACTTGTAGCATAGACTAAATAATAAATTTCTTTGGTATTATTTATTAAAAATTGAGTTGACCTCACAGATGTCTAAAGTTATGGCTATACCAATATCATTTATTATATCGATAATATCAATTATTTAACGATAAACATGAATTCAGTTTCTTTATTTTTTTACACTAGCAGTAATTTTAAAAGTGTCATAACGGAAGTGACTAACTGTCACTGTCAAGGTGTCATATGCTGCCAACATTTTCAAGAAATAAAATTTATTATCAATTACACATCACTTTAAATAAAACGGATTAATTTCCGTTTATGTAATCATTTCTATGCAATATCAAAAAGAAAGATAATATTTTTCTGTATCAGCTATGGCAGAATATATCAAATAGCGCTTAATTAGTAAATATTATAAAATTATCCGCTTTTTAGTATTTTTATTATGTAGGTAAATAATAATTTGTAAAATATATAAAGAAACTATATTATGTAAGTGTATATTAACAATATTGTTCAATAAGGCATTTATTACTTATCCACGAATTACAGCTTTATATATAAAGTAAGTACATTACTTAAACTATAATTGAATTGTATGGGATGGTCACAGATGATCTAATAGCGAAATTTTTGTGTATTCATAAGTTTAAAGGAAGTGACTAGTCCTAAAGTCTAGTATTCAGTGCTGCCAACCATATATTTTCCTCAACACACTGGAAAAAACAATAGTCAGTTTTCTTTAGCTTCGCGTTTATATCTCATGTTATCGAGCTATCTAAATTTTTTAATAATAGTAATACAACGAATAAAATATTATCATCATCTTTGTATAACACTTTTGTTTATTGTCGAATTGTGTTGTTTTGTATTTGATTTGGTGGAGTAATATTTTAATAAATTCTCGAATATATTTGAGATAACTTGATGTAGATTGACATATCGGTTTCGCAAGTAGGTACAGAGGTGTTTTATTTGTGTACATCGTGTGGAAAATATTAACGGGATTTGATGATTGATTTGTACAGTGTTGTTCGTTTTTCCAAATATATATTCGGTTATCTTTCAGTGTGTTATTTGTGTATTGTGCTCTAAGTATTCAATGCTGCAGTGTAATTTGTGTGGTGTCAGGTGTTTGTTTGTCGCTCAAGGCGTGTGAGCTATGCTGACTCCTCGTCGATGCTGCGACGTTAATACGCGGCCGGTATGTATGTTTAAGTTTGGCATTATATACCTAGCTACTATTCCTCATCATTTTAGTCTATCAAGCAATAAAAATTTAAAGTCTAAGAGCTCATAATTGGTGGTGGTGGTTTCTCTAAAGAGCTGGATTGTTTTTTTGTGTGTAGTTATACATATAAACTTTTCTACTATTTATGTTTCTTTATAATAGATTATGTAAGTACCTGTACACCTACTCCGTGTTAAATCCCATAGCTCCCATGGCAAGTCTAGAATGAATGAGTGTATGAAATGTCTAGAAGACATTCTCATATTGGATGTTACCCAAGTAATATTACTAATCTGAATAAAAACGTTACAAAAGTTAATCACATTTGAACACTGAAGGGATTTGAATAAGATTTGGTGTCCTGATGACTTTATAATAAAACTTAGGTGTAGCTTTATATTATTACTTAGTACAATTTTTTCCTACTACAAGTTATTACAATATTCACAAAACAACTATGATTTCCACAGATAAAATTTTTGCTTAATGTTATCATCACTTCATTGGTATACCTTAAAAGTAAAAAAGAAGAAATGTTAAAAATTGTGATAAACAAATATGGAACAAATATTTATATTGTTCATATATCATACATTATAGGGACGTTAGTTATATACAACTTTAAACCAAGTTTGTATGTAACTATAACAATACTATCTATCTTTATTATGTAATTATGTGAAAATAACAACTTTGCATGTGATGATACACTCCTATGGTTTTAAGCTTGCAATATAATCAAGTGTTACTTAATATTGTAGGAAAAATATATATAATACATATAAAATTGTTTGCCCTGCCTGATTTATCATCATCATCATTATCATAACAACTATAAAAATTCACTCAATTAATGAATGGATATTCAAAATATAGTTATATAAAATATAAAAAAAAATACAAGAATAATGACACAAAGCCAACAGCCGTACCACTAAATGTGAGATCTTTCAGGCAACTTTAGAGTGAATAGGACTAATTAAACTTTTATTTATTTAGTTTATAATAAATTACTTATTATATAACTATATATTCATAATATGTAAAATTAAATGATAAATGCTTATAATGGAATCCCACTTACATTAGGTACATAGAAAAGAATATAAATTATATAACCTATTGTTTATATTGAAGTTTTTTGTTATTATATTCTATTGTTGATTTCTTCAATACCTAATAATAATACAATAATTAACAAGTGCATGTGATAAAACCATGAATACCTGATTATAAGATGAGTTTATAGCTGCCGTATTGATTTTATACTGTTATCATGTAGTCTTACAGTACTTTACAAAACTAACAACATCACTCTTATAAAAATGTATTGAACTGTTAAGTTTGTCATAACAATTTTTATATATATTTTATTTATTTTATATGTAATTTTGTATGTTAACACACTAGGTTTATAACTTTGATTTGGCTTTTGCTGTCATAATATTATAATTATTTTTAATGAATAAATAAAAAAATAAATCTTTATATATATGTATAACAGGAAATTTTATGAATGTACAATGTTTGTTGTTTCCGAGAATTGTTTCGACTTAATCCAGAAGTCTTCTTCAGGGAGAGTATGGCATTTTGCATAATAATGTCTTGCCTTGCAAAATAAAAAAAAGATAAAATAGTATCATAAACATATCTAACATAAACATCTGATTATTAGGGACAGCTCTCTCCTTGTTAGAGAGGTAGTTAGCATACTGTTACTGCATCAGCTATATGACTTCTGTGTACAGATGTATTTTTCTTGGACTGAGACACTTTGATTCTATGACAAATTATTGTTAGTAAAGAGGATGCTAGTTTCTATTGTTATTAATATACTCATATCCTGTCAAGTCGATATTTGATACTTCACTTGAGTCTTGCCATTGTATAATATTTATGTAGTTAGGAGCATATTTTCATACATTAAAAAGAAATTGATTCCTTTTAAAGGCATCTCCTTTTACAACATCTTGAGGATAGAGAAAAGTTGTACACATTTACAAAATATCATTAAAATCAGTTGATCCAGTTTCGGTGATTGGTTTGTATGAAATACGAGATTTATATATATTAAGATAGAGTAATATAATTACACAAGGGTAGAAGAAAGGTGTTTCCGCGACTGGCTTTCGTCACTTTCACTTATCGAGCGACGTTGGCGCCGCCGACTCGAGCTACTTTCGCCTTGGTAGCGCTGAGAGCGGCTAAACATATCCGATACTGAAGTTGACAATGTTCTACCTTCGATTTCGATAAAACAACTATCCTATTTATTATATAATAAATACGAAAATTAGTCACATTTGATGGATTTTTGTTATTCTTTCACGCAAAAAGTACTGAATGAATTTGATTTAAGTTTGGTACACGGGTAGGTTATATCCTAACTTGGCACATATCATACTTTATATAGCGATTCACACCGGCGGAGTAGCGGGATATAGCTAGTATTGAATAATGTCAACATTATTGAATGTTTCTGTGTTATTATTGGAGAGCGCTATTTTTCAAAGAATATCAATAGTTATGACGGTTAATCACCAATATCTCCTAAGTGACATTTATAAAATTGTTATGTTCCGAACGGTGTAATTGAAAATCCGGCGTTTGTTTGGTCTTGTTACGTCATCTGAAAGTGGTTACCCACTTCCAAAAAGCACGAAGAAAAACTAGTGAATAATACTTTTCTTATGACGAAGAAATAAAAAAACAAAAAGTATGAAATTCTGTGGTTAGTGAGATGGCTTATCGCTCAATTTAATACTTTATTCTATTATTTATATCTTGATTCATCTTATATTGCTTCTCCAACTAGTGAAGGATGACTATCAGTTCACGGAATCTGTCCTTGTCTATTGCGAGATGGAATAATTCGGCTGTACTCACAATGCCCGTCCACACCCGGATATTGTGGTACCAAGACTTTTTCTACAACCGACTCTCTTGCCAGCAATTTTACCCATTCTAATCATATGTAGAAGGTGATACCTGTCGTGCCTAAGTATATGCCCAAGATACAAAGTTTTTCGCTTTTTTTTTATGATGGCTCATAACTTATCCTGTTACTTACTTAGTTTGTTAGAAAACCTCTACATTGGTGACTTTCTGTACCTAATTTACTCTCAACATCCGTCTGTATGCTCACATCTCAATTGCTTCTATAAGTTTTTTCAGATTTTTTATTGTTTACGACTCGCGTCCGTATAAAATTATAGGCCAAATGTAACAATGCAGAAGACGTGTACGCTAGTTGATCTTTATGTTTTTGTTTCAGCACAACCTTCATAGTATTGAATGCCATTCGGACGATTCCATGCGGTATTTAATCTTCTGATAATTATTTCGTCTTAAGCCTTGTACCTAAATATTTGTATCTGTGCATTTGTGCAATCAAGGCAAACCTGACACCCTGATGGTTGAGTTAGTATTGAGATCTCTCGAGATTATTACCAGCTTAGATTTCTTTTGAGACACTCACTGTCTCGGTCAACTATCTTTTGTAGACTGCACTGGACGTTAAGTTGAGGGTACCGTCTGTGTATCGTATGTTATTAAATGTATAGCAGTTGATATTGACTCCATAATGTTCTACAATAGTCTTGTAATGCTTCTGCTAGTATAGTCTCCGAATATAAATTAAATAAAGCAGGAGAGAGGATACAACATAGCCGGACACTTCTCTTTGTTTCGATTTTGTCAGCTAGACTCTATCAACACGAATAGTACAGATCCTGGATAATGCGGATATCCTTTCAGAGCAATATCATTCAAGAGTGTAATAAGGCTCTCTGGTTCTTTCTCGCACTATGATTGTAGATTTTTGTATTGTCCACTTTATTTACAAAAAAAAAACAACATCACTGACCTTGGTAATGTCAGTTTAATGGATGGTGATGTCGAGAGCAAACCGGACATTTTCTACATGCATTCGTAGTACTTACAATGTTTTGTGTGCTTTGTGTTTGTTTTTACACTTAAATGCTATGTGTTAAGGTCACGACACAATGCGTGCGTTATATAAGCAGTCACTTCTGTGTTAGTTACTTTAATTTGTCGAAACCGAACTAGTTTTAGATGTATTGTTTTAAAAGCTTAAAAGATTTCAAGATACAATCTCAATCCAATTTTGACACCTAACCTTTACGTCAGAATTGGAATGACATTATCGTCTTCAGCTTCATCTTACTATCCAAGATCCCAATTATTATTTGGGGTCGAAGTAATATATTTTTTCTTTCATTCTTCACTATTCGCATTCATTTTCACATTCATTCCCATTCTGCCATATCATCTTTCACCGTGGATTGACTTTTGCATGATTAGATGAATATAAGCTGATCCAGCAGACGTTGTTTTACCCCGTATCATCATTGACCGTATCAAATTTTTGTTTTTAGGATAAAAACTATCCTATCTTTCAAGTCCGAGCAAAAAATAAAATAAAATCTATGGAGCAGCTTCGGACATTAGCATGAAGGACTGTCGTGACATGGGATTTTATATACGAACGAGTATGTATAAGGGTTTTAAAATCTTAATGTGTTTATTAAAATTTAATTTTGATTTTACTAGTAAAATTGTTAAAACTAAATCGAGACAACATAAAACAATATCAGTTTATGTAAGTAAGCACCTTCAATCCACAAAAACATTTTCCATGTTTTGTTGTAAACTGCATTCAATATAATTCTTTAGAAAGTAACCAAGCCTATGTTTTTTCCAGTTATTGAACTCGAAAGTGGGTCAAATGCTAAATCTAGTCGGATATCAGTTAGCGACTCGATAGTAGTAGTGAAAATTATGACTTGCCCGAGATTTATGGTTCATTTTATAGTATCAATTGATCCCACCATCCATACAGTGCCATTGACCGCTCTGGTTTTTAAAAACATTTAAATGTTAATAAAAAAATATGATCATAAATTTATATCTAGTTGGATTATTCCAACACATACATATTCGATGTTTCATAG